TATAAATACAGTCCTCTAACACTTTCAAATTTTACTTGGCTTAATATTAACCCACTAAGAGAGTTAGATCAAAATTCATATCATTGTTAGTACAGATTGTTTAATCCAGTTTAATTATTAATTCATTATTATTTTTTCTTCTATATGTATGTATCTTAGTAACAAAAATGTTTATATCTGTTTCGTAGTGTTGATTGGCTAAAACTCTGAACCAATTGTAGAATTGAACTATAATCTAGGAATTAGCTTATCTCTGTTGATTTTGTTTGTTTTTGTAATTTAAACGGGTTCATTCCACCATTGTTTGTCACCTGCAAAAGACTACTAACAATGGTGTATTTCCCAGTCTAAAGTATGCTTAACAATATTCACACTCAACTTTTATTTGTAGGTTAATAGGATATGTTTATAAATACCTTGGAATCACCGCACGCGTTTATGTTACGGTCAGTGACTGAGCGAACAATGCTGACGTTAGTTAAAGATAGCAAATCGATTGGTGAGGTCGTGAATCTCCATCGGCTGTGTTATTCAGAACATGTATTACATATATGTCTAACAATTACCTAAGCCCGACGTGCGATGTTTTTTGGTGTTGGAGTAGGCTAAATGAATGCTAGACATCACCAAAACAAAGTCCAAGTCATTGACGATTGAACCAAGCCATGTATAGAGGTACAGATTACCTAGCTGGGACCCACGTGATTATCGTACTCAATCGTCGGAGATGTTGATTAACATGGTTTAGAACCAATCTCAATTGAGTAGTTGTATTCCTCCTTTATATTCCTTTGAATCCTATAATTATTTTGTACTCTTTATTTCATGGACTATTTTTTTGGATCATATTGTCGTCTGAGTTTAATTTTTTCCTACTATTACTGATACTCTTACCATTTCTACTACTACAATGGAATTTGTTTTGATCATTTCATCTCGCTTTATTCATATGATGTGGCAAGTTGAATCAGTGTAAACGATTCTACATTTATTATGAGTAACCTGTCAGTTCAATTAATTACCATCACCTAATTTTTCTTTCATTGTTATTCTCCTATGTACAGGAAATTGTTCCATCTCTTACAACAGAATTCAACTCAGAAGAAATGAAGTAAGTTTTTTCTTGTACTTAATTATAATGATAATTCGATAATTACTATTACTGTATTATGTCTTGAAATCAGTTGACCATTATCGTGTGCTAGATCACCAATCATTACCCTAGTTTTAATTTGGTTGGTTATTTACTCTATAGCTTTAGTGTCTATAATTCAGCTAATTGCACGCCCGCTCAGAACTATTGGCACTGAGCTGACAGCTGGTTTCTCATTGACCCACTATTCGCCAGCTCCTTTTTATGCCCAGCCTTTGAATGCAGAATTAGCAACCAAATTCAACTATATTTATAATTCAAACAAAAGTGGTTTATATACAGACATACTGAACCTCATCAGACCACCGAAAGGTGGCTGTGAATGGGGGGGAGACTGTAAATAAATAGACTGGCATCAAAATAGGAATAGTGATTCCTATGACAGTAATATGTGAGTAATGAATAATTATAATTCGAGAAACCAGTTTCAACTTCTACAATATTCTTCCCGTTACAGCGTACTGAAATCATATCTTTGATATAAAAGTAGTCAATAAAAACACTTTCTCGTTTGGTACAATATTACCCGTTATATGCAATCTTTAGAAAAAAACAGAATTATCATTCTTATTCTATGGATACAAAAAACAATTTTTCGCTACCATTTTAAATATTCTGAAAGGTATGGAAAAAACTATTTCAACTGCCTATGGTTTGAGGATAGCCATTCTTTCTCAGTGTTCAATAAAAGTGCAACATCTTGCATTTTCTCATTCTTCTAATGAATAAGTGCTGTATATAAGAGTACAACTATCCACTGAGGACTTCATTTCAACCATCTGATGTTATCAACATATCTCCACATAACTCAACTTGGCAGTGAAGAAGATGCAAAAACAATGAAAGTTACAACTTGAAATGAAAATCATACACTTATAATTCACTGTTTACACTTTAAGTGGATGAAAACATGCTAGATATTATATTTATATATTGAATATTGAAAGACAGATGTGCTATAAATTGATGGACACGTATCTTATCACCTGTTTGACTTGATAATTTTGAATAAATCGAGCATTGGATAGATTGTTATAAATAAATATAATATATTTGTAATATCTCAATGAGTAGAAAAATTAAATATTCTGATGTTTCGTGACTCAGTGTAAGCCACTTCTTCAGAGTTTGCTCATACAAACTCGTATAACTCATATACCGGATTGTGATTGACTGATTTGTAAGATATACTTTTACCGAAAAGTTTTACTCAAAAACTGATCCATCTCTATAAAAGGTAAATGTTTCACCGAATATTTCTATATTATTTTTCTTATCTTCATAGATTAACAGAATCTCAACAACCATATATTACTTCATTAAATAATAGTAATTATGATAATATTAATAATGGTAATGATAATGATAATGTGGATGTATTAAAACGTCAATGTGATTCTATTAGTCAAATTAATGAACAATTAACTACAACATTAATAAAATTACAACAAGATAGAATAGCATTGAAAATATTTCTGGAACGTTTAATGCCATTAGAAACAATTTAAGTGTTTATTTTCAATTTCAATAACAAGATCATTATCGTTTATCATTTACAAATTGCTAATCTTAATTGTTAGCTACATTGCTGACAATGTGATAGCATACATACCAATGTATGCATATATAAGTCTATATATATATATACTATTCTATTCAATAAAAAGAATCTATTCAGCCTTGTTACTCTCTCTCTCTCTCCTTCTCAATATTGCTTTATTTTTCTCTATATATACACATTTATTATGATCATGTATTCTATTATCTACTTTAATGATCAACTTTAAAGTGCCTAAAGTGTGTTGCATAATCTTTATCCTATCCTTTCATGTGTTAATTGAGTAATGAATACTATTTCTCATTCAATACACATAACAAGTGTATTATTTACAATAATTAACAAGAAAGTAATCCTTTAAAAGCATTTTCCTTTCTACACTTCTATTTTGTGCAGCAGTTTGTTACCTATTATGTGGGTGTATGTGTTTCTACGTAAATTTATCCTTATCTGGTTGAGATTATGTTTTATTTTAACTGAAAAATACAATCTATACTTAATGATTAGATCAACTCACTTCCCTATTGTTACTTATGTTTGCTTTTCATTAGGTATAATTCATTATCTATTTTGTTGCCGGTTTTTCTTCTCTTTAATTGCTTTCTCTCTAAATGATTGGTTTTTGGTTCTTTCATGTTATAGTCTATTCTTCCTTTGTTGTTGTTGCAACTACACTGTTTTGTTTTATTCTCGTGAAATTGAAAGGAACAATTGTTTGCTTCTGTGCTAATGTATTATTGTATTGGAACTTAAACCAATACACATACATATATATATGCGCCAAGTTCAAATTCATTGTCCATTTTATGAAGTGTATACCACGGACTAAGTGATTTATGTGTAGCTTATTTATTTACTTGATCTAAGAAAATAAATTTGTTATGTGTAGAATTATTTTCTGTTCCTGACGAATATGTGTAATTGTTATTCATGTTTTACGTTGTGTGGTCATCCGATACCGATACGCATAATTCCCCATACTCAAACGAGACCTAGTAAGTGAGTGAAAAGGATAACCAGGAAGCTGCACTAGACAAACCTAATTCAAATGTGTTCAACTCATTGGTATATACATATATGTCCTTCAAATTTTTAAGTGTTATAGCCCAAAGCCGCCAATCAGAAGCAGCGAATTATCCATCGGACCAAGGACGCGTAAAACACGTGCGAGTAGCCTAGAGTCCTGATTGGTCCTGCTTCCTGCCTAGCCCAGCCAGTTAAGTCCAGAACACCAGTCTCACCCTCTGCAATATGAATCCTTATATTTCAAACATACTGTTTATATACCAATCAAACAGACCACAACGTAGCATAATATAGAAAATAACATTTGTACAAAATTTGGCCAAATGTGGCTGTGAATGTGGAAGGCAGCGACTAATAATAGACAGGGCATAATTCAACAATGGTAAAACGTACAATAACGGTTCATAGGTCAAAATAAAGTTTATAATAAGAGGAATATGAATAGTTTAACTATTTAACAATTATACGATAAAAATATACGTTTAGTATTGGTCCCTAAAAAGGATCCCAAAGTTACCATGCATTATGTTTATCGGGACCTAACATTAAGCCAGACCTGGACGAATAGCACGAACGACTTTCGCTGACAACCGTCTTCTTTCAACTTCTCTTACCCACCATTTGGCCTTGATCAAGCATGTGCGCGGAAGCACATAATGTATCTGGACTTGCCATGAGTATCATAACAATAATTTTATAGACTGGTATTGATAAAAATGTAAAATCTTCTCTGCATTGACGGAAATGAGGTTATTTTGTGGATTCGACTTCTTTATATCAAGCATATAATAGATTCTTTTTAGATAAAGTATTAGACACCAAACTACTGACTGTTACCAAGTAATCTACATTCAGTGCTATATTGAATAAGGTTCCTGCCAGAATCGATTAATCGAACACAGAACCTCCTGGAATTTTAGTGGGAAGCCATAATCGGTGGAGTTCAAATGTGTCGAGTGTGGGATAGTGGTTACCCACCGAAAACAGTGAATGGTGGTCACGCAATATCGTATGGTGATTGAAGTTATACAAAAACGCCATTGAATCCCGGTTCAATGGTCTACGGGATAAACGTTCACGTAAAACCGGTCCTGGGTTCAATCCGCGTCGACAAGTTTTTGCATGTTGAAGAGTCGCATATCGAGCCGAAACCGCTGTTTACAACCCTCAGGTTTTCAATGGATAGGTAGCATAAGTGGGTTCATAATATCAATAATATCCAATCACTTCCACAAATCTCTATACAGAAAACTATGTAAGGATTTACAATAAACAAGCATCATATATTTACCTATATTTTTATCATCACGTTCTTTTTTTAAAAAAAGGCAAATATAACTAGGAAAGCGATATTAGTAATTTACGTCGAGTAAAAAAAGTCAAAGGATTGATAATACACTAAAAAATTATTTTAAAAAAACGAGAATATATTCATGTAAACAAAAGAAGAAAATCATGAGAAAGATTGGATTGTCATCCATTGAAATATAATCGTTGTACTGAAGTACGATGCTCCAATCGTAGTCATTGATATTTCTGATCCAATACAATAGAATTACATTCAATAACAAGTGTATGTATACATATATGTATATTACAGTTTATTTAATAGATCTCATAGAATATCATGTACAAAATATTTGTTGTATATTTCTAATCATAATGATATATTTTACTGTGCATTTGTCAACTTTGATCTAAACCTTTGACAGCTAATGCACCAGCCCATTGGTCAGAACCACAAGCTTTTCTCAAACGTAATCTGACTTTATTATTTTGTATCTGTTAAAATGGAAATAAGTACGAGAGATGTATCATATTAAATACGAATATATTATTGATATCATTAGGGATAACTGCTAGGGTGCTTGTACTCTTCATATAATGATGGATTATTAGGGCAAGGCGAAGAGTTTGGATATCCGAGTAGTGATAATAGTAATAAGGAGATGAGGCTCCGTATGTAGAAAGCAGGAGTGAGCTATGTTAATCTAGGTCACCTTAGATGTCGTTGAAATAATTGTTTGATCATAAAGCGTGGGACGTTATGATTAGAGCATTTTGTCACTGCTTCTGTCAAGAAAAGATGTCGGATAGTTTCATATTCAATTATCACTTTCTCCAAAGAATTGTTCACATGTGATAATTAGCTCAGAAGAGATAGTGAAGATGGTAACCTTACAGGTGCAATCACCTTGAAACACTTAATTCAGTAGTTTGTTTTTATTTCATTGAGATAATGAACCGGTCTAAGTTAGACCACCATTGAAAACCTGGAGACGCTGAACGGCTGTACCGTCCAAGTACGGAATTCCTTAGCAGTGCCCATCCGCGACCCCTCACATGGAAATCAACCTCACGGTTTTAGAAAACCGATGCCATCTGAAATGCTATAAATACCCCCTAACCTTAGAGTAAAGCGTTTTTCCATATTTCGTGCCTTTTCTCTCATATTTAAGTCGTTGTGTAGATTTAGTCTGAGGTTAATAGAAGAGCTTAAGGAAACCGATTCAAGTGTTCAGTGAGAAGATTTATCATTATTTTAAGACAATAAACAACTATAAACACAAGAACCTGTTCCAACTAATGAGTTGTCATTCTTTCAAACACTCACTTTACTATTTATCATAAATGTTTCGATTTTAGATTTGTTTTTAAAATTAATTAATTTTATCTACTAATCTCATGTATTTACGCAATGTTATCGAATCTTTATGGTCTAATATCTGAGAAACTGAACAAGTACCACTTTAGTGATTGGTATATTTTCCTCTTTTCCTATCCTTTGAAGAAAGAAGTAATAATTAACACAGACTTCATCCATCAAATACACATAATATTTACCTATGGAAAGAGGTATCATAGCAGTAGGACTAATTGTAAATATGTTACGAACGGGGAATTAAGAAGCCCAGACAATTACGAAAGCTATTTTCTTGGGACGTTATTGCATTTCATTCAAAACCTGTAAAACACTTATATTTATTTTTGTCCCTACCTTATTCTACATAACACGAGCTTTCGTTCTATGTATCATTCACTAGCATACCACAGCGTACCATAAAAATAGAAAACAACATTTTGTACAAGTGAACAGATATCGACCAATAGGAAATCCCATTTAAAGTCCAAGGACACCATTGGACTTAACATGATAATTATTGGTCTATTCCTGCGCATCCACAACAAAATAGATACAGATGAAGATGAATGATCGCTGATTATTATTTTAAAACTTCATATATATATCTTTGGATATTTACCAGTCAAATACTTATAAAAAGGAGGTGATTTATTACAATATTGTATACTTAAACTACAGATTCGGAATACGATAACTATCCATTCTCACTGTTCAATAAAAGTGTAATATCTAGCATTTTCTCATTCGTCTAGTGAATGAGTGCTGCATATAAGAGTACAATATCCACTGAGGACTTCATTTCAATCCTCTGACGTTATCAACATATCTCCACTTAAGTATAACTCAACTTGGCAGTGGAAAAGAAGCAAAAACAATGAAAGTTACAGCTTGAAATGGAAATCATACTCTTATAATTCATTGTTTACACTTTAAATGAATGAAAACATACTACAGATCGTATATATATATTGAAAATTGAAAGACAGATGTGCTATAAATTGATGGACACGTATCTTATCATCTGATTGTAGGTATCATTATCAATGTTTGACTTGATAATTTCGAATAAATCGAGCATTGGATAGATTGTTATAAATAAATATAATATGTTTCAATGATTAAGATCATGAGTCAGTTGAAGCTAAATCACCATGGAAAACCTGAAAGTACTAGAAGGCCGTCCACAAAACCCAACTGATATTATTCAAAATATACTCACTAGTGACTGGCTTCACGAGGTATATCCTGGAGTTCTATTGAGAAGTAGTGACCAGTGAAGTTCAATCAGGTTTGTTGAGAGATAGTAACTAACTGAAGACAATGGTGGATGTGTCGCTCAATTTCGTGGATTAGTTGAAGTTAGACATTAACACCGCTAAGTGCTCGCGTGAGAAACCAGTAGGTCCTGGGTTCGAATCCCGTGAGGCGGGGTCGTGGATGCGCACTGCTGAGTAGTCCCGCGATAGGACGAAACGGCCATCCAGTGCTTCCAGGTTTTCATTGGTGGTTTAGCTTCAACTGACTCATGGTCTCAACCATTGAAATTACTATAATATCCACAAAACGCGTCTGATATTTGTAATATCTCTATGAGTAGAAAAATTAGATATTCTGACGTTTCGTGACTCAGTGTAAGCCACTTCTTCAGAAGTGTGGATTACTCGTTTCTAAGATATACTTTTACCAAAAAAGAAAATAACCACTTTAAATGAATGAAAACATGCTAGATATTATATATATATAATGAACATTAAAAGATGGATGCGTTACAAAATTATGGGCAAGTATCCTATCTTCAGAATTCTTTGCTATGTAATCAAACAGAGAGTATTTTGACTGGAGAGAATATTACTACTACATTAATATATTAATTAAACTTTTAATAAAGAACACATTCCATGCATAAAAACTCACTTTAAATGTACAAAATGTTGGCATAATTTTCGATGGAAATTGACGTACAGAATATTCATAAGTATAATTAGGATTAGTTAATTCGCATAGAACATTTAATGAACTAAATGATTAAATAAATAAATAATGTAAATACACTATAGAACACAATACTAACAGAAAACATGATTATTAAAATCATACTCACTAGTAAAACGATGTTATATAATCATTGTTAAAATTAGAGGGATAGTAATAATGCAACTTAAATGAAGAGGAAGGGACGAGACCGATGTGCAGTGAGCCCAAGTTTGCAGCGGTGATCTTAGACCAGTTCATGACTTTAATGAAATACTTATTAATATATCAGATTTATGTATTCAGTTATGAGCCACATGTTCAGTGTGAGCGCTAATGATATTAATAGGTTGCCCAAACTAAAGTATGTAGACTGGGATTCAGACACTCATGGCCACCCTATACTTTTAATCATTGATCTATGATTACCATTATTGTGATTATGGTCAAAATTTCATTAAACAATAATAATAATGATAATAATAATAAACTAAGGATAGATAATATTGAAGTGAATAATAAGTAGATGCTAACTTACTATTCACCAAGCTCCACTTTTAATAATCCATTGCCTAATTGTTGACGAATACTTGCAGATGTTGTATTGAAAGAATCACTGTGGAAATTCCCTGAACAACCGGGTTTAATAAGTCCACAAAATCCTCGACTAGGCGCCTGTAAACCCTGCATAATCAATGTAACTTGTACATCATTGGCATTTAATTCACTTGCTTCAATATATGGTTGCTTAGCCTTGGAAAATAGTAGTGAAAATTTAGAAGCATAAGATTACAATAAACACAGTAAAGATAAATTTAGCGAAAGCGATCATCTTTTTTTGAAGAGCACCAAAAGAAAACATACTATAACACCACAAACAATTAAGCGACAAATTGTAAGACGGGAAAGATTGAGGGGCGGACAAATAAACACACACAATGCAGAATATGGCACAACAAATCAGGAATTAGGAGATAAAAAGTATGGAATCTCATACTGAGTATAACATTTACAGGAAGGTACCAAGTAGATATATCTACGCCAATGTGAATAAGTTTGCTTTATTCGACCATACATCGTAATTATTAGTAGTATAAAATAGGTGAATAAGAAGAATAAGTGTTTAGGTGAATGCTTTCCGTAGTACTGTGTTCAGTGAGCTGTATAGTTTAATTGCAGAGATCTCATTGTTATTCCGGACAATATCGTCACCGCCTACTTCATGTAGAAGTGAGTATTTCAGTAATTCCACAAGTATTATATTAATTCGTTCTGACTGGCCTTGTTTGTAATTTGTAGTCAACATGAATCTAAGAACAAATGAAGACAAACAATCATGAATAAGGCCATCAGAATGCAATGACATAACATTTGTGGAATAACTGATGAGCTCACTTTTAAATGAAATGGATAATGTTGTTGTCAAGATCGACAATGAAACTTCTAAAACTAAACTGATTAACTTCGAGAACACAATGCTGCCAATTAATATATTTTGCTCTGAAGGATCAAAGCAGAAATGTAAGCACAGGAAACCTAGACCATGAACATCAGTAGCTTCATATCTAGTCATTGGGTAAATAGGAATAAAATCACACTGATTAAAAGACCAACAGTAAATTGAAACATTGATCAGTTACAATTATATGCTACTACTTTCACTACTTTCGTTTAATGATGATAACTTACAGTGAAAATATCTAGAGAGAAAATAAATGATTCACATAAAAATAATCCATTCACATGTTAAGATTAATAATTGTTGTTCATGAGATAAAACAGTCATAGAAAACTAACTAAATTCTAACTAGGTGACTTAACCAAAATTAAATAGATTGGGGTTCAACTCGGAAACCCGTTCGATAAAAAGGCTGCTCTATAAAAGTACTTCAAAGTTTAACCGTTTATGAAGAAAATAATCAATATGGGACACAATGATAATGTGAGAATCAATCCTCAATAGTCAAAAATTTATTAATAAGGGTTTGAAATGAGCATCCTGGGTTTCACTGCTAGCTACAATCCATATATCCTGGTAAGAAAGACATGTAATGACATGGCTATACTGATGCAGTCCACACAAGATGTACGTACGCGAACGAAGACTGATTAAAAATTTCGTACCAATGGAATAATTTGAACCGTTACAAATAATGGTATAAACATAGCACCCGTTGAACAAGTTAACAGGGATTTGGACTCAAAAGCTTAGCGGATAATGAGTTCGCATTTGAAGTGAAAGGTACCGGGTTTGAATCTCAATGTGAACATCTAGTGAGACAGAGGTACATTTCAGTGAGGTCTCCTAAGTAAGATAAAACGCACATGCTGAATTTTATCGATAGCTACAATCTATCTATTCCGAAAAAAATAAATCACTCTTAGTAAAAAAGTTATTTTCATTTCAAAATGTATGATTAATAGTTAAATCAATCACTGGTTCGAACCTTGCCCCAATTATATACAAAATATCTGATCACTCTTAGCCGAATATATAAATTCACAGTATTTTTTAATTAGATATATCATAACAGTGGTCATATAAATGAAGAATCGATGGCGGCTTATTTGAATATCTGGACTACCTATTCCTATCATCTAGACATTTCAACAAGTTATTTGTTTTTTGTTTGTTAACAACCTTTCACTATACATACATCGAAAAGAAATATACTTTATTCAGATATCGATACCTGAACTGCTAACTATCTAATTGGCGATCACTCAATATTTTTTGTCAGGATCGATCAAGAAATAAGAAATGGAAACTTGTTAAAATACTTTGTTCTGAGAATTCTATATTGTACCAAAAATATAATATTCAATAAACCCGTTAATAATAATAATAATTATTTTTTTCACAGATTGAACTCATGAGTCAGTTGAAGCTAGACCACCATTGAAAACCTGGAAGCACTGGACGGCCGTTTCGTCCTAGTATGGGACTCCTCAGCAGTGCGCATCCACGATCCCGCACCACGCGGGGCTCGAACCCAGGACCGTCGGTCTTGCGCGCGAACGCTTGATCTCCAGACCACTGAGCCGGCATCCAACGGTGTTAATGTCTAACTTCAACCAATCCACGAAGTTGCGCTACCGTACACCATTGTCTTCAGTGAGTTCCTATCTCACAACAGACCTGGTTGAACTCCACTGGTAACGACTTCTCACTAGAACTCCAGAAGTGTCTCCTGAAGTCAGTCACTAGTGAGCAGGTGATTGTTATTATCAGAATGTGTTTTGTCGAGATTTTTAGAAATTTTCACAGATTGAACTCATGAGCCCCGGGTGGTGCGGGGTCGTGGATGCGCACTGCTGAGGAGTCCCATACTAGGACGAAACGGCCGTCCAGTGTTTCCAGGTTTTCAATGGTGGTCTAGCTTCAACTGACTCATGAGTTCAATCTGTGAAAATTTCTAAAAATCTCCACAAAACACATTCTGATATTATTATTTTTGTCATACAAATTATTTATAAGACAGTCCATTTAAGTTAGTCAACTTATACATTAAGTGATTGTAACATAATGAAATTGTTAATTAAAATAGATCAACGAATTAGAATAGTATGAATGGATTAATGAAAGTAGACTGGCTTAGCAGTTTTAGATTCTTTCCTTTTTGATGGAGTTTTGTGAAGATTAGGTTACTTTCTATATGATACTTGTTACGGATTGACATCAAATGGGATATTATTAAAAATCCGGAGTGAATATGACAGTTGTTTCATTCTTGTATGGCATTCATCAGTAATGCGAAGTTCAAAGAGCACTGGGTTAGATCCCTAGTGCATTCACGTGTGTGGACTGGTAAACACAATGAAACAACTGTTGAATCCACATTAATTTCTAATAGTACTCAAATTCATGTTGAAACGTAAAAAAAATGTTTGCAACTAACCATTGAACAAATTAACAACACTTGATCTGACAGTTTCAAACTAGTACACCAATCAACCTGATATCAAACTGTGAAGACCACAATTTATAAATAGATATTCTATCAGTGAATCTATATAGAGTTCAAACAAATTAATTTGTTGTTGAATTTCTTCTAATCTTCATTTTACAGGTGAATCAGAAAACTTCCTCTTATTTGCGTGAATCTATCTACTAGGTTAGTCACATTTTGTACAATATAAATTTTTATTCTAAAGAACTAAATCTAACACAGAGTAGTTAATTTACCAATCTGAAAATACATATTTTCCATTTGCATTATAACAGATAAAGGACTCCGCGATGTCAGACAAATAATGTAACTCAATAAAGTTATTAAGCATACAACTGTACTCAATCACTAAAAATAAATAAAATAGGCACAAAAAAAAGGCCAGAACCTGAAGTTCATTTAGTTTTAAATCAGATTTATTTTAATTGCTAAACAAACTCTCCCTTGATTAGACATAATAAAAATGGCACCTGTGTGTTAAAAATGCAAAATAGAATCTAAATATCAAATATTACCAACAAGTTTTTATTACAGTCAGATAGTGGCTAGCAGTGAACCCTAGGAAATGTGTTTCATCCTATCTATAGCTTGTCAGCTGAATGCATATGTATCTCAGAGCTGATGCTTGCACCAAAACTTTGACCTAGTGACATTTGATTGAGCCCAGATAGTCGTTGAGTATGTGTGTGTGTGTGAAACAGTCAACACCAGCAACGACAACGAACAAAATTAATGATACAAGCGAACTACACTCAAAAAGGCATAAAATCAAGAAGTCACGAAAATTTCGTTGCCTCTTTTCTTTACAATAACGAATAATTGACTTTATTTCTCAAACGTATTACTACTATTAAATGCAATAAATTTACAATTCTGAATTTTACATACACATACACAGAAATACAAAATAAATACATTACAATGTTAATTGAATCTTATCCATCTTTTGTTTCTCTTTAGCATCATAGACATTCTTGTTTATCACAACCAGTCAGAGAAGAAGTAAATCAATAATCAGTCGAGTAAGATCACTGTAACTTTATTATACACGACATTCCATACTCCTATATGAATTTCTTTTTTCGCATATACATTAAATATTAAGTAATTTTATGTAATGAATTCTAGAGAGATTGTTGAATCCTGGAATATTTGTTTGAATTAGATTTGGATGTACACGAAGTTGATAATTAAGTATAGTTGGTGTCGTTGTATGATAATTCATGTTAGCAGTATATGATAAAGTATTTGTCAATGATAGATTATGGTTATTGTCAGGAATACCAGTTGACAGTAGTAATCTCCATGGTTGTTCAGGATTCATAAGATCAGAAGATAGAAACAAACCACATGGTTTAACCCTTCCATAACATCCATTATCGATGTTCATGATTGATTTTCCATCATCATGATATACATGTGTGAACATGTCATTTGATACATCAAATGTTGATATATTCTGTTGGTAAACATCTATTGAACCATTGATTTGAATTAGTCCGATATATTTGGAAGTATTAGGAATATTTTCAGTTGACGTTTCTGGATAATTATGCGTAATGATTTGAACAATCTGTGTGAAGTGGGATAAGGAAAAAATAACAAATTGAATTTATGAAAACAAAATGTTATGAAAACGAATATGCCGAGAGGACATTTTGACCCGATCTATGGTGATTCCTTAATTAAAGGATAAGTTACCGGGTCCTGTCACATTTATGTGTATCTACAAATCCAGGTGCTCCTGTGGAGGAAGCCATATCGGGCGCACTACCAAACAACTAAGCCAACGAGTTAATGAACATCCCTCTTCGAGGTTAGGAAAGGGTTTTGTTAAAACAATACACAGCTTTGTTCTATGATACTTGATAAATAGCGGTCATGTAGTGGACTATTTTAAGTTATTTATCGTATTCCTACTAGTTTTCCTTATAAGGTTCGATCTTGTCTCTTACATATGACAGAAGTTATAGGAATTCGAGCCAACAATCTAAGTCTTCGTATTTGTAAGAAATTTGTAACACCTTTATCTCTCTCTTGGCCTTAACAAATGATTTTATTTATTATCATTCTCTATACTCTTTCTTCATTTCTTTTTCTTTACCCCCTCCCACCTATTTTTCCCCTAGATATACGCTTCATTGTCTAATTATCTGGACACTTCTAATTACATGATCTTATAATCTTTTATGAAAGTTATTTCAGTGTCTATATTTTCCTAATCATTGACCTATTTCCCATTACGTAACATTGATTCAAGCGTTTATTATTCTTATCATAGCTAGTACGCCTGTCATCATACTATCAATTTGTACTTTTCAATTATTATGTCTATTTATGTAATCTATTCTATTGTTACCATTAACTCATAAACTGCCTTGATTAGTTTAATAATTTCGTATATGCATATAAATATTACTGTACATTAGAGTAAAGCCTAATGAGGATGTAATCAAAAATATTGTTCGCTTATATACGTTGTTCTAATTCACTGTAGGTATATACACGAAGATGAGAGCCAATTTTTTGAACATTATGTTTCTAATCATCAATGTTAACAGTCAGTCAGTTACAGGCAACATATCATGCGGGACAGATGTGCATTAGTGCAAGTTACCAAACTATTAAAGCACGGTGGAATGGGATTATCAACACAAGTTTCAGAGTAATGAAAGTGGTAATAAAGTGAACGAAGATTCATGTACGGTAAACCAATATAATATTGTATGCAAAATTGCGCAATAACCTTTGTAAAATATGAAAATCATCACAGATTAAATACACAATTTGCACATATTCTTTCAGTAACCCTTTACATATTCCATCGTTCTTCTAATTCTATTGTTACTCTGACTGATTTCCGTTTTCCTTCCTGATCTCTTCATTTCAATCTTCTGCTGGTAAGCATTCAACTTCAAATTCCTACTACATACTGCTAATATCGATCCACAGATGTAGCACACACGACAATAATAGTATCAATCATATTAAAAAAACATTAGGCATGGATGGTAATATGGTTCGAGAAGAACTCATAAAATAGAAAAACATAATTTTAAAATTCAAAAATCTGAAGGGAAACAAAGAATGAATGAATATGCACCATTGTGACTGATTTCGAGTCATGTCATTGTTGAGTCAGCTTTCCGAGAACTGCAACGGAGCCTCCGGAGGTCCTAAAGGAGCCGAAGAATCCTAGACAATCAGAGCATGATGGAGCTTTCTAGAATATCAACGTGGCGTGTTACTATTGGTCAGTAGCATAATACGTGTTTTAGCGGATCGGCCAAAATATGATGTTGATTTAACAAATGTTAGCATCTATAAATACCCGTGTTTTTCTGTACAAAAATGAATATTTGGAGTAAAGTCTTTTTCGCTTATTTTGCGCCTTTTCTTTCGGGTCCAGGTCTCTGCGTAGTTCTAGCTTGCGTGTTACCAGCATAGCTTAGGAACCGAATAAAGCGTTCAAAATAACAAGACTTATCAGTCACCCGATGCCCCCAACTAGTGGTTGCAATTAATAAATCGACCCCAAACCAACTTCATGGACTGATCCTATGTTTTGATTTGATCATCTCTAGCTTTCTTTCAACGTGCTTACATACATCAATGAAACATTTCCCAAAGAGATAGATAGTGGTTGGGCATACGTAATACATATGTATGTTTGAGTCCTGAAACTTATTTAGTTCGAACAACTGGATAGTGTCTCATAGATTGGTAGTATATAGTTTGATAAGCGTACATTTTTCCACACAAAGTGAGCTAACCGGAGTTCAACAATCAGACTGGTGTATATTTTACTTACATAATTGACTAATAACATAACCATAAAAGACTTAAATGTAATGAATTCAATCTGACAACTAATTAGGAGTGTGAATTATCTGAGAATTCCAAGGTTCCCACTCCAAAGTTATGCAATTTCTATAACGTCATTAGGAGGTGAACCAAACTCAGTATTCATTGGTTCCAATTTCTTTTTTTTATTTATGATACAGAGTGACGACCACCCTAAATGATACCTGTGTTAATTAGCTACAACGACTCAACATTTTACAGCTGGTGAAGTAGTAGGTGCACATTGTTGATGAGTTCAAACTACGGTGGAATGAATGTTTAATGAGTGATCCCTGAACTTCAATACTTCTTCAACTAAAGCTATTCTGTAACAAAAACTAACTCGATATAGAAAAATTTAGATTAAAATATAGGCTTATTAAATATGCATACTTGTTTACATCTATGTGAGGACGATTTGAAAGTTTCATTTGTATTTGTAACATCTACATTTGTTAGTTCCATTTTAGGGTTGCGAATATCATAAACCCATAAATGACCTTCGTAAGTTCCTAATAGCAAATGATTTGTTGAAAACCAACTGAGTGCTCTTTAAATTAAAATAATAAAACACATATACATATAATTGTAAATAAAAATGATTTAAGGCACAAAGGAATAAGTTTAGAAAATCAAGTAAATTTAACAAATACAATCACAAAAGACTAAGATCAGTATTATTATAATTAATCGTTTGAAATAACTTGTTCGTGATGTTTATGAATGAAATTTGATCAGTCTCTGTTAGGATTTGTGCATCCAATGTGGATCGTTTCGACAAAGCTATTATATCATAAGTCTTCATTGAGTAGATAGATTCTTGTTACCAGTAAAATCCAAGACGCTCTTTTGTTCTTACATGGAATTTACTTGCTGCATATTGATGTTTACCTCGGGACTCGAATTTAAGGCCCTCGAATTCGAACATGTATATATGAGCTTCTAAGACCAGACATACGGTCCTAAATTTTATTTCATTGTTACCAAGAGTTTGAATTATGTCGTTGTTGATAATCAGGAATGACATTTGACTAGTTTCTGTTCGTAGGTTTTCAATGGTTGGCTAACAAAAGTCAGACAGTGATTTGAAACTTCCATGTTTTGAGTGAGCTAATGCTCTCAGTGGGATTAGAACCAACGTCACTTATTTTTATAGTCCAAGGCGTTACCATTAATTTCCAACTGACCTCCTGAAAGACAGAAATACTTACACGTATCAACCACTGAGTAGTGGTCGATTTTGTGTTTGTCTAATCATTTGTGCTATTCAAAATCAATCGATTCATTTGTAATATGGTCATTAGTAGTTAGAAGGAAACTCTCCTGTATCAAATTGCGAGAAACTTAGGCCCTTGATTTTATGTAGACTATCATATGACACTTACAACAAAGTATCATCTTCGATCCTTACATCAAAATATTACTTTTAAAATGTTGGGGTGATCCAGGAAATTGCTTGCAAAAAACAAGCAAGCATCAGGAAACACTACGAAGCGCTTCATCCAATCAGCGTTCACTTGAAGTCTTAGCCAAAAATATCAAGGAAGCGGAACGTCGCACGCAGATTTATTTTTTTATTTTATTTTCAACACATAGATAATGGTACAAAGAGGCACCAAATACATATGCGTCACACAAATCTCATTCGATATGTGTGAGGGCTGTGATACTGCCCGGGTACCCAAACCGAAGCAGGTGGTTTTCTTAGGGGGCGACCCCCCGAGCCTTCGACCGGAAGGTCTGATCCACAAGGCAGTGGAGCATCGTCAGGAGATGCAGTCCCATGGAAGCCGGTGACCAACAATTGGTTCATACGCCATTTGTTCCCGCAGGATACTAGAGCCCATGTGCACCATTGGTTTGGAATCCGGTTAAAGCGCCGAACATTCGCTTTTCGTCCTCTCATTTTTGTAAACAACACCCCCGCCACGAGAAGGCAGTGAGTAGGACTTCCCTGGCAGAGGCTATATACGCGTGGCCATGTGGGGGCATTTCGAGAGGGAGAGTGGACTCTCCCCACTCTCGGACGTACCAGGGCATTTGGGGGCCCTGATTGACTGGCTGCTACACTGCCACTATGTTTAGTAACATTCCAGAATCTTCTAGCAACCCAAGGACATTTAAAATATTATAAAAACCCTGTATTTTCTGTATTAAAATGAACCTTGGAGTAAACTACTTCTCGCATACTTTGAGTCTTCTCTCTCGTGTTCAGGTCGCTGTATAGTTCTAGCTTGGGGGTTACAGAATAGCTTATGAGACGAATATAGCGTTCAATCCGCAAGACTTACCAAAAAATACCCATCTTTTCTCAACACCAACCATAATTAAAGTAAGATAAAAACAACAAGAGAAATATACACACATTAAAACTCACGTTGGTAAATCATGTGTAATATTTGAACAGTCACTTGACTGAATTACGATTGGATTAGATACATCATTGACACGAATATCCCATAAACAAATTTTTCGTTTCACATCTAATGGATTTAAAGTTGACAATAAAAAGTTTTCACAATTATTTTGATGATTTATCATGCTATTAGTATTATTAGTAGATAGTAAAGAAATATCTGGAGTCAAAGCGGAACCGTTAACAGGCCATGTTGTAGAATTGATAGACCATGATTTAATAGGCATTAAAGATGGACAATCCCATAACTAATTTGAAATAAATAAAACAACAATGAAAATCGAACAATTTAATATTGAATGAAGAATAAGAATGAAGAGGGAAAACAATTATGTTCTATGTAAGCAAAGTGAAGATTAAATAGCAATTAAGTAATTAGAATAACAATCGTGTAATTTCCCGTTGTTAGATGCAGACATTTTCAATTGAAAATTATATCTACTAGGTTGTACTAGGTTGACAAGGTCAACAAGAGCCAATCAACATCGAGGTCTACAGGACAGGCTGTGAACCACATGTTGAGAAATTCGAACACTTCACTTTTACCTGAAGTTTGTGCTGATGATGTCGTTCAGAAGAACGATGAAAGCTTCACGACCAAACCATCCAACTGAGAGAACAAAACTCCATCAAAATGAGTCCATCTATTTCATTGTGAACGATTCTGAAACATCTTATCCAAAGTCTCGAAACCACTACTGATAGCGGTTGCTTCCTTTATTTTTACAAACTTCAAAGTAAAGCATTAATGGTACTATTTTCTTTCTGGTTCATTAGAGTTCAAGATTTGCAGAATAATGGAACTCGATGTCAGCTATGAAATCACTTGCGAAAAACACTTAATCAACAATGATAATCTCATTTATCATATTTTAAACAATAATAGCTGTTCATATCGGTCATTGTACAACAGAACTTAGTTTATTGTATACTACAGCCAAGTCATTTACTCATTAATTAAAAAAACGGAACCTTAAAAGTAATTTTAGAATAAGAGAACTTTCTATCAGAAACTTTTGAAGTTGGATAGACCTTACTAATATTTTACCTAAACTCATTTACTAAGTACAAGTTTATGAATATAGTTGACTGGATAATGCGGCACAACACCTCCCCTCATAACCTTGCCAAAATCTAATTAAATAGAACAATGTTCAATCCTGTGACCTTTATAACCAAATGAAGTCTTAACTATCATAGACTTTTTGACCAGGTCCAAAGAGATATACACACATTAGTACATTTTAGACGAATTAACATTAATGAACAAACCAAGAAATGAAGAAATTCTTATATAAAATCTAATATTTCTACAAAATATATCATTATTATCTCAATTATTGAAATATACATTATTCGCTTTCAACTCTTGTTCTAATTTGGAAAAAGGTGAGTAAAGTGTTGAGATTAAAGGATAATAAACAATAGAAGAGTATAACAGATTCTATAGTTTAAAGCCACATAATTTCACATAGCTGATTAATGACCTCTTTCATTAAGCTTATGTGAAATATAACACAATTTGAACTGATTTAAATTTATATCAGATCTTAATATTATTTAATGATTGAGTAATAGACTTCTTAAATTCAAAGTAGAGCTATGCAAACAGAGGTTTTATGTACAATGAATTGTTTAAAAGAGCTTATGAAATCCATGTAAACACATAGACAAGAATAACAATTTAATCTGTGTTCAAGTTTACTTTTCTGTAAAATAGTCTTAAATGTGTATTAAAATACGTATACAATATATATATATATATATTCATTTCTTTATTTGTACAAGATAGTTTAGTTGGTGGGTGAGTGAATGTATTCTAGAAGTCACGTAGTTAAAATAACTAAATATTTGATTCATTCATTAATACAGATAATATCAACAGTACCATTTTCTTAATCACACTAGTTCACTCTAATTTTTATTTTGTATATTGTGAGATTTACATATATACATATATGTATGTGTACCAACTAATTATTTAGTTTAACCCGTATTTTAGCAAAGTAAACACGTAAAACTTGACAGAAACACAATCAATAACAAACTCATATTGTTCTAAGAAGAGAGATAGTGAAAATTATGAACAGCAAGTATATAGTTTTATTGTTTTGGTTCATTGAAACGTTAAAGTATGACATTATTGTTAGATAAGATGACAAGGTGTTTTACCAGTTTTCATGAGCTGCAGTTAAAAACAAGCTTGTCTTCCTAAACCTTGACTCCAATGGTGATAAAATAACTAGAAAGATTGATATAGGATTAAATGTTATGTCAAAAAGAAGGTATTCAGCCGTTAAACTGATCTCTCTGTATCAAACGAATTGTTCATTGAGACAGTCAAATGTGAACAAATTCTCATCGCATGTTACATTTGTATCTACCAGTTTACATTTGTCCCAAAAGATATATATATATATATTGCAAGAACAGAGAAGAAGATTAGTGTCCGCATCTTTGGGCACATTCTACAAAAGCTTAGACTGAAAGGAAAGAATGTTTTCAGCAATGTGATTACTTGTCACTTGTTTGACAGTGAACACGGTTGGTTTTTCAACGTTTTTCAAGATAATTAGTAAACAAATGATGTTGAATTTACTATCTTTTAATGAAACAAATGCTACAAGAAGAAACCAAATCTATGCAACGGAAAAACACGCTCAATAATCTTGCTCTTCCATGGTGACCTTAATCACAAATGTTCATTACGTAATTGTGCTGTGACACTACTTAAAAGATGTTACAAAATAAAGTGAATTTATATTATTCTGCTACATTTATTATTTTTGTCTTATTTAGATGATCTTACTGAATGAGATAATAAAATTTGCAAAAATAATTTCATTTAATGAACTAGTTACACCCATATAACTATCAAAAGCTAAAGTGTCATGAAGAACTGTTTTATTTGAATTGAATACATTTGCTAACGAACCACTCAGATTTAAGATAGCAGCTATTTGAACTTTTAACTGATATCCAAATCTACATGACGAATACAATGTATCTTATCAAAGGCTATGTAAAATATATATATCTTTATTTATTACGATCCTCGAAAATTGATAAACATGGGATGACTAAAGAATAGGGGCCATGATTCATTGATTTTTAAAGGTAGCTTAAAGGTTTTTGATATTCGAAAATCAAAGAATTAGCTGTATAAGTATTTATCCATAAGGCTTCCCTTCACTTAATCCCTAACAATTACTTGAAACTCGTAATTCTAAATTATAAAACGAACTCCTAATATTAACCCTAAACTCCTTGGGTCTTTGAATCACAAATTATTCGTTTACATGTTATAAAAAAGAAATATACAACTCTAGGTGTTCGAAAGTAGTCAGTTAGCAGGGTAGAATTTGATGAGTACCAAAGGACTAGACAAATAAAATATTGGTTGCCACTCAGTGGTCAATCAATTTTAAAAAACTCAGTCCTATAGAATGCTAGCCACGAACCTCAATAGTTCAGTAGTGACATTTCTTGGAGTGGGGCTGAATAATACGAGTTCGAAGCCTCTAGGGAGCATCAGTTCCCTCAAGGTTGCACGTACGCCTTACTAATGAGTACCAACTAGCACGAAACAAAGATTCCATAGTTTCGTGACAAAAATTAACCCAGTAGTAGTCACATTACAACTCAATCGATAAGGTTCGATCAGCATAGAAAGGATAAGACAAACAAGACATAACCTACACTACTTGGTGACTAGTCGATGTTAGATGAAATGTAAGGTCAATATATTTTATAACCGTGAGTATGCAACAAAACGTAATTCGAGCAATAAAAACAGTATGACGGACTTTAATTACACTACCTTCCTATTTGTTTTAAAAATTATGACTGACAAATGACAAAATGGATAAACAATGAAAAATTACAAACAACAACAGCAAGGTGGGGTTGATACCACTCCAAGTGACTTGGAAACTTACTCCTCCAAACCTAGCTATTTTAATACAGAGTAGACTATGGTAATGCAAGTAACGATAAGAAAACTGTCAAAAACAACAGCAATGACCAATCAGGATCAACAGAACAAGTTGTAACTCAAGTGTGAAGAAAGCCTTATATCTCACTTTTAACTGAAGTTTGTGCTGATAAAGACGTTGCATAGAAAGACAGTAACACCATTGGATGCTGGCTCAGTGGTCCAGTAGGTTAAGCGTTTGCGCGCGAGACTGAAGGCCCTGGGTTCAAATCCCGAGAGCGGGATCGTGGATGCCCGCTGCCGAGAAGTCCCACAATTGGACGAAACGGCCGTCCAGTGCTTCCAGGTTTTTAATGGTAGTCTAAAATCAATCGGTTCGTGATCTCAATCAAAAGCTTTAAAGTTAAGCCACCTAACTCAGAGAATGTAGCTCTATCAAAAATCCTCTTTCAGAGAAACACATCTTGTTCATCATCTCTTACAAAAGAATAGAATATCTTAAATCTGGTAAAGATTTTCAAAAGATAATTAATGTGCATCAACTTACTTTTACACATCCAGCTACATCTAATGTTATGATATGAGGATTCGTAGATCCTGAGGTCTGAGATGATATTACTTTCTCCAACGGCCAATCATGATATGTAGCAGAATTGATCGTTAATGGCTAGTGAGCAATAGATGGCAACGTAAAGTACAAAGGAATTACGACTAAAGGACAAATAATAATTGCAATTTTAATTTTTTATAGAAATCATACGACAGGAGTGGTCAGAAGTAATTTTTCTTATAGATACAATAGAAAATTGACTAAACTGCTCACTTATTTTACTAAGCATGAGTTTTAAGTAACAACTAACTAGTTTGATTTCATGCCAATTATTACACACAAACTGACTATAACTTGCAGCCCAATAAAACTTTGAGTTGATTACCTTAGATCTTTTTTTCACAGACATAATAGAGACAAAAGATTTTTTCTTCGACTTTTTATTAGTCGACTGGAATAAGTTTTTCGATTCCGTGCCCAAACCCCTCCTCAAATGATGGATTGTTGACTGATGAAGGCCTATTGGTTCTATTGGCCTAAAATTAGTCATAGTGGTGCAGATGCACCAACATTTTGTCTTTACTAGTCAGGAGGAATAGCTCAGTGGTTTTAGTGTTCGATTTATAATCTCAATTGTCCACAACACCGAACTCCACTACACCTATCTCGATCTAGGCGAATGGTTAGTATCACTATCACTCAAACTTAGAGCGCAGTTCAAATCCAAGCCCATGAATTCGGCAAATGAGTTAGTAAATAGACTAATCAGTCGCTGTGTATTAACCGATGTCGTGTTTCTAGTGCAAACCAAATTGAATCGAAATTTTAAATACTGTCACTAATTCAAGCAATATGGAATCTTTAATTTTATTTAAATCATAAACGCAAGGTTACTTTACACCTATTCACCCCCGTTTTTACTTGATTTTTAGCCTCCCTTTATCTCTTTTATTAAGAATGTATTATTGCGATTATTTGTAATTCTTCTATTTTTTGTGAGGTGTGGCAGATCGAAGCAACATATTTCCACCAAGTCTATATTTGTTTGTCTTATATTTTCAATGTCGAATATTGTCAACGAAGTAAATGAAGTCATTTTTATAACTAACGAACTCGGATCTATGGTATAACTTTCAAACAAGTCAAATGTTTACTCCACAAAAACATGACAGTTAACTCATATTGTACAAACACTGTGATAACATATCTACTTTGTATAATTAGCATGTATTCTACTTTACTTAAAATAAACTTTGAATCGAATTAAATAGTTCTCCAAATAATTGGATATGAGCCACACTCTGGGTAAGGGTTAGTGATGCAACCCGGCTGTCCAGATAGGTGGAATTAGGCTCAAACCTTGAACTTGGTGGCTGAGAGTAGAAAGTCTTAACCGCAAAGCCATCACCTTACTTTTATTCATCTAATAGTCTGACGAAAGGAAAATAAATATCTCGACTTTATATATAATTAACAAAAAGATAGATACCTGCATTTGTGACTGATGAGAATTGGCTGACACCTCACGTAGTGTAACCAACTGGATAGAACCATCATCTAAACCAATCACAACAGCATCTGTTAATTCACTGCAACTTAAATTCAATGGTGCTATTGATGCAACAGATGAGTCGAAAGAAGTCTCCGTAACAACTTGATGAGAGATATCATCAACTACAGCCGACTCATCTTCATATGCAATACGACCAAAATTGTTTTTTAAGTTCTTCAGGTTGTAAACGACCAAGCCACCACCCCATAGATCCCCTATGATGGACAAAACAAAAATGCATTGTCAGTGTTAATTAACATTATTTATAATCAAGGAGTCATGTCCGTTCTCATATGACATGATATACATACTGTTCGATTTATTTATCTTTTCGGACCTTATATCTGCAAAATTTAGCGGCAATACAATAATTTATGGACTTAGAAGAGTTTATCATTATGCTCTCATTCAGACAGTTTATAAAAAGCAAATACTCATGGTTTCTAATAGTGCTTATTATGAATTATTCTGAGCTTCCTAAGCTATAATTGAGCACGAAATATCTGATAAGATTAACTCAGCGAATTGGAAGTTTATTATGAGCGTGGTAACATATAATTTTGATAAGTCATAGTTGGTCAAGATACTATGTTTACAAGTGATTGTGATGAAGGTAAGACTAAGTCTGATATCAGTAAAAGTGGAAAACAAAGCAGCAGACACTGATAAAGACGACACTTCACCATTTTTAGCGCCAGAAGTATGTCTATTCAGTAGTTTGAAACATTCCCATATTGTAAAACCTAATTTTACAACCTAATTTTACACTGCAAAAACAGATTACTGTGAATAATAAATAAATTGACCCTTACTGATAAAAAGGTGCTTTACTTTATTTCCCCGTATTTTATTAAACCTCGGCCTCTTTTTGCCAGAAATGTTTAACACCTTAAGACCAGCTTACCAGCTAGAGCCAACAATTGAAAGGCACAAGATTAACCGTAAAAATAAGCCGTAATACATCCAGTCACATCAATCACAAATCACGATGAAAAAATGGTTTGCAGAAAAAACCCAACACCACAAAAATTATTTTTGCATCTACGAAGGTATTATTTTTCACCTGATATGGAGGAGGATCCTATGAATAAATTTCGATGATGTACTCCTATCGCTGAAACTACAGACGCGTATTTAGCATGTGAGAATCCAGAGCCCAAACTTATATCATCGATATTTATTTCGTGCATCGTAGCGGACCAATATGAAAGCACCGCAGACCTTGACCTTAAATTGCAGTACTCAAAATAGTTCAAATGGTTGTGGATGGAACAGAAGAAGCTTTCGCTTAGCAAGGGATTACCAATACCTCCAGGCAGCAACCTAAGTATATTAACGATAACATAGGAAAAAGAAACTGATAAAGCATAGTAAGATATCCTTGATCCTTAAGAATAAGTCAATTTACTTCTTAAAGGGCTCTTGAGAAGTCGCTTGGACTAGCTCAGCCGTCATCGAATTCCAGGAATTGACAGCTCTTAAAGATTGGAAGTTGTATCTACAGTTCGTTCTGCTGTGTTGTGTCTCTAGTTGATGGGTGTTACTCCTTAGGTTTGTGTTGGAGCTCAACTTAAGTAGGTGTTTAAGGGGATGTCCAGAAGTGTTAAGCATACTGTAAGCCATTAGAAGGTCACCTCTTAGATGCCTATACTCTAATGGGTAAATGTTTAGTGAATGAGGGCGCTCTTCGTATGGCTTCAATTTGAGTCCTCAAACTGATTTCGTGGATCGCCGTCGCATACGCTCCAGAGTGTCCTTGTCATTTTGAAGTGAGGGAGGAAATACCATGTTTCCGTACCCTAAATGGAAACGAATGAAACCGTCGAAAACTGTATGGAAAGTCCGTTCATCAAACTGATCAAAAATGCGCTTACCGGTACAAGGTTTGCTCGAAAGGCATTTATGTCACAGTTAGAGTATTACTTCAAATAGTAGGATGCCAGCATTTTAACCTTTTTTCAACTTGAGTTGCTTCTAGAGAGGAGTTTCTTAAACTGTAACTGTAGTCTGCAACATGCCGCAGATGGACCACTTTACAGTTTGAAGTGTTAAAGATAAGTACGTTATCGTCTGCCCAACTTTGAAGTCGAGTCAGATCCTCCTGATGTGTCTTTATATCCTCTTGGTTGCGTGTCTCTCTCCAGAGTTTCACATCATCAGCAAAAAGTAATAATTCAGACGATAGTTGCTGTGGAAGATCGTTTATATAAATCAAGAGGAGAAGAGGTCCATTTACTGAGCCGTGAGAGACCCCACTAGGACATTCCATAGCCTAGAGAAAGTGAAGTTAACACTGACCTTAACATGTTGATTTTCAGATTTGAAGTGAGCCAATCAATTAGAGGTGATTTCACACCCAAACATTTGAGCTTATCGATAATACATATCTGATTGACCCTAACAAAAGCTTTCGAGAAGTCAAGGTAAAGGACTTCAACCATCCCTTCGCGATCAAGGATGAATGTCCATCTGTCCACCGTGGTCATTAGGTTGGTTATACAATAATGACCCTTCTTGGGACCATGCTGTTGTGATAGAAAGAAGTTTAAGGTTAATAAATACTCATGAATAGCATCGCATGTCAGGGACTCTATAATTTTTGAAAGTATAAAGTGAAGAGTCACCGGCCGGAGTCTTGAAGGTTTGCTGCGTCGACCTCTCCTGAAAATCGGTGTGATGTAAGCCAGACTCCAAATCTCCGGTAGTTCGCCTCGGCTTAGGAAGTGTGAGAACATCACGCTAAGTGGTGTTGCCAGGATTGAAGCTGCTCCTCTCGATATAGCAGAATGAACCATATACGGGCCAGGATTAGCGTCTTATCTTAGATGCTTCAGATTCCGGTACACCAAGTCAGCGATCAGGTTCACCTCAGAAGGTCCTGTGCATTTACGGATAAAGCTTTCATTAATATGGTTAATGTGGGTCGGTTGAAATGTCTAAGAGTAATGTTCATCCAGAAGGTTAGCGACATCACCGTCGTTGTTGGTCGGGCCATTGATATCTAGCATTTGGAAAACTCCCGTCTTGGCTTGTCGAAGAGAGGCTCCATAACGGAATAAGCTTTTCGGATTGGAGACAAATTTATCCATAAGCTTTGTCTGGTACTGAATCCTGTCTTCTCTTATAGCCTTCGTGCATATGGTCCTTATATGTTTGTATAGCCTGTACGCGCCGTTGTTATCAATTCCTTTGTATTGTGCCAGACAGTACCTTTGTGGTTTAGAAAACAAAGAGTGTGGTTCTCGATGATTGTAGTTTGCTTGTAGATTTAGGGGATCATTTGAGGAACAGACCGCTTTTTAGCACAAAAGATTGTGTGCAGTAAGAAATCCTAATGAGCATCCATGTCAAGTTGAGGGTGAACATCTCAATCCACCTGTTGTAGATAGTTCTGTAAAGCTGACACATTCAACCGTTTGAAATTCCAGCGCCTGTTGTTGGTGGGATGTCTTAGCTCAGTTTCGCCGATGAAACTGAAGGCTATGACGGCGTAATCGCTTCTCCTCAGGGAGGCCAGGATTGAGAGGTTGTCGACTAGGACTTCTTCGTATGTAAATAACCAGTCTAAGCGTGATGGCGTCTGACTGTCTTTCCAACGGGTTGGCGACTTCACATTTTGAAATAATCTCAGATCCTCAATGAGGATGAAGAACCGAGCTTCAGTTGAGTTTTCACCTCTAATACACGTATCTTCCACGAAATGCACTTCAGGAAAATCGAAGTCCCCTAGAATCAAGATATGAGTGAATCCGAGACGCGTAGGGCGGGATAATCCTTCCAGCATGCTATTGTCGTAGTCGATGTCAGCAGTGGGCTTCCAGTAATTGAATCCAACTAGACACTTCGAGGTGGGAACGTTCTTACTGATCACCATACGGATTCATCTAGATTGATAAAATCTCGGTTGTGCACTTGATGTACCTCCTGACAGGATCGTAAATGTGGTGCTATTCCAAACCCACTTTCTGTTTTTCTATCATTGCGAAACAAAGACATCCCGGGCATTGCCAGCTCTTGGTCCGTAAACTGGGAAGATATCTATGTTTCAGATATGCCAGATGATTATTATTGACATTACTGAGTTCATCCATTTTATTCGGTAAAATCGTGACGATTATATATAAGCAGTTTATTCTTTCAATTTGAAACGTATAAGTGTCTCCTTCCTGTATGAGCCTTACGTGAGTTGACAGGTAGCCTACCTATAAAAAATTTTCCGAGTCCATAGCTCATACCCTTTACACATTTTTTTATGATCAGGACAGTCCACAATTAAAATGGTCTGCTCCAGCTTTCCTTTGTGCTTGATCATGGCGTCATGTGGCCTATCCTGATGCATATCGATATCAATTGGCAACCGACGTTTGTTCGCACGAAATGCTTCCAGAGTTGCAGCCACCATATAAGAGGATGAGAAAATTATCTTCATTCAGTTCGCAATAATGATAATAACAGTGGGTTGTTCTACATGTGTTTATGTTTATTGCTTGATTGCCAGCTACTCCTTTAAATTGTTCATGTTTCTTGATTGGATACGGCGTTTCAGTTATTGACCGCTGGGAGTCCTAATATGAGTTTACTTGATTACAGTTTTTGAATCTTCGTCCTGTGACCTTAAAGACGATAGGTTCCAGAGGAGAAAAAAGATAAGACATGCTGACACCCTCATAACCAGGATACAGAATGCTAACATTAAGTCACGTCATGTTTTACGATTGGATTATAGGGAGTTTTAAGAGCCTATCGGCGAGACTCTAATTTAGCGACGACCTTTGAACGAATCCTAAATGACCTTGACAATTATTAGCCAATCAGAAGGCAGTTAGTATAAAGTGAGAATATATTGTAAGTAATGAATTACAGTGGATATTCTTCTTCTACATGATTTAAAAACTTGTTAAGGTTTGATAAAGGTTCAGAGGCTCTGAATTCATAATGCATATTGTATAGAAACTCGTCCATAGGGTTAGTGGTTAGGGTTGTAGCCTGTCAATAGACACCTCTACTCTAAAATCCGATGTAAACCGTTCGCATGTTAGCACCTTAACCCTAACCTCGACCTAACCCTAAACGCTAATCTAACCCTAACCTTAACCAAACCCTAAAACCTAATCTAACCCTAAACCCTAATCTAACACTAACCTCAACCTAACCCTAAACCCTAAACTAACCCTAACCTTAACCCTAATCTAACCCTAACCTAACCATAACCCTAAACCCCAATCTAACCCTAACCTTAACCTAACCCTTAACCCTGATTTTAACCCCTAACGCTATGGACGAGTTTCTATACAATATGCATTATGAATTCAGAACTTCTGAGCCTTTATCAAACCTCAACAAGTTTTTAAATCATGTAAAAGAAGTATATCCACTGTAACTCATTACTTTCTTCTAATATATTTTTACTCTATACTGTCTTCTGATTGGCTAATAATTGAAATTGCTCAAACGCTTCTCATTGGCTCGTTCCTAAATTAGAGTTTCCCCGTCCCATCTGTTTTAACCTCTCAGTAATCACCTCCTCTCTAAAATCCGCTGTGAACCGACCGTATGTTAGCATCGCGTGTTGAACTTGGCTCCGTGACCTTGAAATTGCTCAAACGCTTCTGATTGGCTTGTCGCTAAATTAGAGTATCGCCGCCTATCGTTTAATATGCTCTGATTTTTAAAAATCCTGAATGAGACTGTAGCGTCGCGGCGAGTCGCGGTTGACTATGAACACCGCTACCAAGAAATACGTGTCAAGTAAATCAGAAGGCGAAGGTTGAACGTAATCAAATAAATCCATAAAATCCCCGAGAAGCCGAATATCAGAAGGCAGTTAATGGACCAAGTCGAGATATCTTTGCTGGCGACCTCGTGGTATCGAAAGGATACCGAGATCGTGCCAGGATACAACCTTGGTTACAGAACGTAACGGAATTCGCGCGAAGTCACAATCAAGTGTGTGAATAATAATGGAAGCACAATATAGCTGTCATTAGCACAGTCAAACAAAAGCACACTAAAAAAGTCACTGGTACAATTGGCTATATTAATAATTGTTTTCATTAAACCAGTCGTGTTCTCGTGATAAATGTGAGTCACTACAAACTTATGGTGACGTATATTCAATGAGTTTTGTAAAGACAAAATAAAAGGCGTATTTTCTCTCTAATTTGTCACGCTTTATGTGTAACCACATTTTCATTCAATATCTGTTGTTTTTCTGTATCACTTGTTAAAAAACGATTTTTGTTTCGATGATTAATATACGATTTTACTACCGCGTGGTCTGAAAATATAAAACGCTATCTACACCGTAAGTTCTACTGCTTTATCGACCACGGTTTTTTTTATTGAAGACCATAATGGTGTTATAACATCCCTTTAGCACTTCCGGCACCACGTTGGAATTTTGGCACGGATTATTATATTATAATACTATTGGACGCAAACTTTCTCAATACGCCGTTGGTGCAATTACTCGCAGAGGAACCTTCGTTAATCTAGTGAACTTATTTGTGGTTGTCATTCTCACGAGGCAGCTTTCAAGTAACATTCAGTCCATAATAATTGTTATTTGTTTGTTTAATATACCATTTGTATCGTAACTATATTTTGTTACTCTTGGTTTTTCTCACAGACAGACACCTAGGTTTTTTTTACTGTCAACTTTCTTGGTATATTATCATTAATCTAGCGTGTCGATATCTCTTGTTTAAGCTCCTTTTGTTGGGAACCACCACAAACGTAAGGAAATCAGTCAAAATTTTGTCATCCGTAAAACCTTTCCTGGTCATACTTCAGACTTCGAACCTTTTTATATAGTCTTAAAAAGCTTCAGAATTTCAGTATTTATCAAACTAATCAACCACAGGCTCCATCGCAATGTAAATATGATAATTAAAAGTATTCAAATTAAAGTACTAAGTATTCCAGAGATATTGCAATTTAAACCAGATAGAACTAGATGAGCGCAAACGAACTTATTGTATTTTATTTTCATGATCAGCGGGTAATCAGTTACAAGGGAATCATTAATTCGTACAAATATCACAAAACACTAATCTTCATCATATACCAACAAATACATATATATCATCAATCAGTGACAACAGCACATCACTATCACATAAATGTTCATCTTACAACAAAACATATTCACACTGAATGAAATCATTCCCTTAATATAAAGAGAATGAGCTCGAAGCAGTGACTACAGTGGTCCTCAGCAAGCATCATCGTAAGGAGTGGATCTCTATCGATACTCTCGACAATATTCAAGAAAGGAAGAACAAGAAGACAGAAAATAACAACAGTCGAACAAGAACAGAAAACCTCAAGGCATAAATTGAGTACACAGAAGCAAGCGAGCAAGTGAAGAAGAGCATTAGAGCCGACAAGCAGAAATATGTGAAAGACGTAACAACGACTGAAATTCATAGTGAAGGGAACAGGTGGGTGGGACACTTTGAGGAAATTATCAATAGGTCATTTCCCTTGAATTCACCGGATATCGAAGTAGCACCTACAGACCTTCCTATAGATGCCACAGTATTGTACTGTTTATATTTTGTTAACATACGAATGTTTATATACATCTCCGTTTGTTTGAATAACATCTTTTGTTTATCTGCTCTATTGTGGTCAATATTTTTAGGATGATGAGAGGGCTTTGACTAGTTCTTCAAATAAACTTCAGACAAATTATTATTGTATTATGCATTTAAAAATACATTTATTCGTATGTACAAGATTAGTCTTCAATGAATATTTCAACGCTACTCATAAAACTGATACACCATCATAAACTAGGTATCATTGGTCAAATCTTTTATCCTGATTTGAAGTTTTCAGATAATAAATATTCACGACTACTCTTAAGGATGAACCCAATGACTCTTATGCTTTATATCGAACTTGAAACCGTTTAGTCAATTTTAACATCAACTCAGTAGTCATCACTGATAAATTATACTAAGTTTTTGACGGAACTTGACAACTATTTATTGATATTAGTAAGCAGTTAACTGACTTATTATATACTTGACAGGTTTTATATGAGGGGACTTCCAAACACAATAGTTATGTGTTATTTCATTCTGATACAGGCCTCCTCTACAGTGAGCAGCAAAAATTTACCAACAATCAAAAACACACACACACAAGACCTTTTGATCTCATAATAATAGGTTTAACATTAAAACTATCAAAATGATAAATAAAAATAGTTTCCCATTCCATATTAAATCAATTTATGTCATTAGGTAAGTCATGTGAAGGAAATGAAAATCAACATCTAACTGTAATACATATTATGGTCCCATAATATTACTTCAAGTAAACATAATGTTTACAACAAATAATGAAAATATTTTAAAATGTAAAACCCATGATAATCTGTTCATGGTGATTTATGCTATTCACCAATATTACGTTTAAAATAGTAACATATTTACTACTTTTGAAGAAAGCCTTTCAATAGGCATAGTGATCCGATAGCGGACCAATATAACCCAAACGTAACAGATGACATCTGAAATAAAAAGCAAAAGATAATGTTCAATTACATAAATAAAGTCGAAATTACTCGTTACTGTTTTATGGATGCATTTGAATATAAATTACATTCTGAACTACTATCATCTATAGAGCCAGCAAGAGGTCACTAGACAGGTGTATCGTTTTAGTATGGAGGTCCCTTGAATTTCACACGCATGATTGGACGTAGCATGAAACTCAAGATATGCAAGTCCTTCTAAGGGCACCAAACGTTTCAATTAATGAATTCAATTATCAATATTTTTAAATCAAGATATCATTGGGCATAGTTTCTTAAAAAGTCTTAAAGAACCTCTTTAGATGTTTATTGCTAGTAGTTAATCTCATGGCTTATAAATATTAGTTAAATTTGAGAATATATATAATAGTATCCAGCTTATTTAACTGATTTTAAAAACATTTTATAAATCACTCATACGTTTTTAGTTTCGTCCGCTTGAGATTATTCATGGGTTACTATATCGTCAAAATAATTTCAATATAATATTTATTTTCACGATAGATTTAATAAATTTCATAGTCACAAAGGGGTTTTGCAAATATTCTAGTATTTTTAACGGTTGAATCCACGGGTCTAACGAAGCTAGACCACTACTGAAAACCTGAGAGCACTAGAGGGCCGTTTCATTCGAGTATGGAACTCAGCAGTGCTCATCTACGGTCCTATACAGGGCACTCGAACCTAGAACATTCGGTCTCGCACAAGAACTCTTAATCTCTAGGTTACCGTTTCAGCATCCGACGGTGTTAATTTCTAACCTCAATCAGTCCATCATCTTGCTCAACTCTTCATCCATTGTCTAGGGTGGATAACTGTCTCCAGTCGGCAAGGATTGGACTCCACTGGTTAAGGCTTCTCATTAGAACTCCAGGAAATCCATCTTGAAACTAGTCAGTAGTGAGACAGTTATCTGTTGTAACGTGCGGTGCCTGAAGTTTGATGATGATACACGGTGTGCTACGCGCCAAACCTCCAACTGACTACTTGAGCAAGAACAAAAAAATGAACGAGAAAGTGTATTGGGCTACCTAATGAAATATAATAATACTAATTCATATATATATATATATATATATATATATATATATATATATATATATATATATATATATATATATATATCACTTTATCTTGAGGAACTTGACTCATTGACTCCAATGAAATGCACTTGACCTTTGGGTTAGATCTGGTTGATGTCAATTGACTTTCGCTACTTCTGAATGGCTCTACATATCATTATTCCTTTAAGACAATGGGTGAAGGATTGCTCAAGATGGTGAACCGATCGAAGTTCGACATTAACACCATTGGATGCCTGGTCGGTGGTCTAGAGGTTAAGCGTTCGTGAGAGAGACCGAAGGTTCTGGGTCTGAGTGCCCTGTGTGGGACCGCAGATGGGCACTGCTGAGTCCCATCCTCGGATGAAACGGCCGTCGAGTGCTTTTAAGTTTTTAATAATGGTTTAGCTTAGATAGACCCGTGAATTCAAGTGTTAGGGACTTCATAGTGTAAACATCTAAGTGGCTAGTATAACAATGAACGTATAGTTCGTAGCTTTTGTTACTTAAACTAGTTTTCTGAAGAAATGCTTGAATTACAATAATAATAATAATAAATTGGTTTTTATACCGTCCTAAATAACAGTTTCTGATTGCAACGAAATAGATTTATCCCATTTATCCTTAAACATCACTCTTAATTTTCCAGTACTTTGACTGTAACAGAACTTTCCATAATAGTCATCAAGAGCTGATAGTAATAAATCTTTGGTTATTATAACTTTTGCATCAAAATAGTTTTATATATTCCGCATAAAAAGACAGAATTTGAACGAGTGCAAGTGATATGACGCTGATGACAATAACAAAAATATATGGAGCTGAGTTCAGTCTCAAAACGTAAGATGTGACAGCTGTAAGCTTTGCCTTTTAAGATGGTGTTTTAAATCCTTTAGACTCATTCATATTATTTACAAAGTTGACGATAAAATGGTTTATTGAGTTTACTAAGGTTTACATATTTAAAAATCATTTGACATGATGCCAAATGAATATTTTTTAGAAAATTTTAAGGTGATATTTGACTTACAATACTTTCACAAGGCATCTAACATAAAAATAACAAACAAAATCTTGTTGTTTTACCAAGTAAATATCATAATAACATGTGATGATTACTTTATAACTGATTATGTGAGTTTTCAACTTACCCGACCCGAGCCGCGAATTTCGGGGAAAATTTGGCACATTGTGGGGAAGCTGCTATAGCAAATTTTGAGGAAATGGCACAAAAACCCAAAAATTCCCCTTTAAACTTGGTCAAGGTTATTTGAATTTGGGGATTTCACCAAAATTTCCGCAAAGTTTCCCAAACATTGGTGAAGGTCAATTGACTTCGGAAGTTTCCCCAAAATACCCCAAAATGTCCCCGAAATTGGAAGCTCGAGGCTATTATGGTCATTTGAAATAACTTACATGTTTAAGAATAGGTATCCTTTAAAACTTGTTCAGCGTTTTCATTCTCAATCTTCCAAATATGAACGCTTCGCCATAATTTGTATTGAATGCATATATATAGATTTTGAGCTCTGATTATAAGTTACTTGATTCTCTCGAGAAAATTGATTATTTATTTAAAGAAATATAAGTAGTTTTAGTTATATTCATAAGCAGATATAATGTAAAATCCATAACATGTTCACTTTCGAATAGACTGTATTCATTCCTAAAACATTTTATGTAAATGTTCAATTTGATGTATTGTATCTCTTATTGAGAATATGGAAGGTATTATCTTATGAATTGGTACGTAGAAAATTATTTTGATTTCAGCTAATGTTTCAACAAAGTGAGAACAATGTTAAATCACTTAGACTAGTGGTCACATTACAACTTATTGCACCTAAACGACTGAACAAACGTGACATTAGTCTTAACACGAGAACCAGTCAGTTATAAATGTATCAGTCCTACAGAAGGTCAGACCCTATCAAAATAACTTGGTTATAACATCTCACTTGGGTAATACGAGCTGAAATCATACATAGCGTCGATTTCCTTAAGAGAGCAGGTACGTCTTGTTTACGAATACTAATTAATATAGAATCTAAGTTCATAGTCCTATAACTGATAATTCCTACCACCAAACACGATATGAAGTATTTTGATTTTCTGTAAACTTCTAATTGGTGTACGTTTGAAATTTCCACTGATGTTTGATGTGTGCGACAATATACTTTTTAACATGCATATGTCCAGCACTATTTTTATTGGTTTACCTTACATTGGAGCTTTATGTACTCAAATATATCATAGTTTTGAAACCCTTATTATAATTTGGCTTGTCACCGATTATCCCAATTTCCCCAATAGTTAGAATATTTAAGTAGTATACTGTATACGAAATCTCTTTTATTTCTCTGTACAGTATTCACTCTATACATATCATTTTAAACTCACAGTGATTTAAAAAATAAATTATCACATAAACGTACCTGAAGTAAAGTCGTAACTTCCTAACGATAAAAGTCAAGAGTGGATGAATTTAATATTGTGCACTTCAGGTACCAAACTGAAAGGTCTAATACTAAATTTCTAGGTCACCAGTGATAAATATTAATACTCTGAAGCTTCTAACTAGTGGTAAATAAATCATAAGAAATGAACGTTAAATATTGTACTACTCAATTATTGTAGCAATATAACATATAGGAAGAGCGAATCCATCACTGTTTATTGATGGAACTGTGTCACTCTAGTCTGTCGATCAGTCGACTAAAAATGTACTGATGTTTTAATATTGAAGCATGAGTAAGTTTTCCATGATTTCAATAATAAATGCGATTAATGAATTCTTTTTCAGAAAAGCCACTTGGTTTCGTGAAGAAATACATTTCCTTTCAAGTTCTTCATTGAATCCCAAAATATTCCACTTATTCGACTACCGAAGTAGAAAAAGTAGCGTTTTGATTGATTGTTATTGTGCTGACGTTAGATTCTAATTGAATACGATCTGCGTTACTCCAGTGATGAGTCGACTATTCACAAAAAAATATTTTCAAGTATTCAGCTCAAGTATAATTAGTTTGGAAACAGCTAATTTCTGCTCGATCACCAGCTTACTAAAAAGGTTACCTGAGAAACTCTACGAATTAAAATGATATTGTCACTTACTCGAAAAATGTCCTGTAAAGCATAACGTCAAAGAAATCAAGAAAATGCTCATAAATTTCATAAGTTCTGATCATTTTGTTTAATCGGACATATGAACTGATCATCAAATAACATTGTGATGCTTAAATATAGGGTTGTGTAGATTGCTGAATTTCACTGAAAGCATGAACCAAATTAAATTAGACCACCGTTGAATGATGATTCAACTTAGGTTGATCCTTGATTCCTATAAAACTTCGATGTTAATTTATTTAAGTGAACAATTAAATTGGAAGAATGTCAATTGCTAAGCGATGGATAAAGTTAGTACTATAATTTCTAAGATATTCAACATATTTTTCTTAAGATAAGATCTCATACTTGATGCACACATATATCCTACTTGCGTTTGATATGGTTTATACACACTTGTGATTACTCGTAACTGATATTCAGTAGTGTAAATATCAATAACCGAAAAGCAAATCATCTTCTAGTCTAGTCTTAATTAAGAATAACAGAAATCCTAGAATCTACCCAAAAATGCAGTCACTTACATTTCATGGTCTGATAAAAATCATTATTTATTATATGTTATCATAATGTTTAGGTGACTAATAAAATCACTACTTTTATTAGACAGTTATGAACAAGCGTTATTGTTTTTTCACTGACAATTCCAATAGAAAGATTAAAGTCCTTCTGATAATAAAAACTCTGGACGTATATTTCATGTAAGTTGCCACTCGACAGCAAGACTTACTTACAGTAAAAGACGTTTTCTGTGTATGACACGGTTTTCAACTCTATATGAAGCATTTATTCCTTCAACAGGAACATCTTGCTAACAAGTACCAACTAACATGAAATATCTGCCTATTGTTTCATGTTGAGCATCTCCAGCCAACATAGTACAAACGGTACCGTGTCATTTGAAATAGTGGTCATATTGTTACTTGGAGCATGGAGTCCCATCAATAACAAAGGACTAAACAAATATTAAGTAGGTTTCTGCTCAATGATCAACCAACTACAATCAAGTGATTTATAACTCATAACACATGAAACTCAATCTGTCGATGAGAAGAAATTGCGAAATATTTGCCATAGGACGTTTACCACATATTACTCTTGGTCATTTCTTTAACAAGTTAAATTATTTTAACGAATTTCGATTGAAACATTTAAATTAATCTAGATTTAGATGGAAAGTACTGGTGGGCGGCCTTTGCTCATCAACGAAGGGTAACAGGCATAAGTAAGTAAGATTTAGATTTTACATTGAGAAGTACACACATAGATCAAAGGACCTATTTAATTCGATGTAAGAGACGCCTATTGACATGAACACATTCTAATCAAATATATCAAATGGTAGTAGGGAATAAAAATATAATATTCAGTTATTTACTGGACAAAATGACATACTTTTATGCAGTACTACCAAGAAAATAACGTTTAGGTTAATTAAGTTAAATTTAGTTTAATAAATCTTATGTCTACTCATAAGCATACCATTAAACAGTAAGTAGTTTTTCAACTAAACAAGACACAGACGGCATTTAAGTCACTATAGTTTGACTAGTAAGGTTTAAACATCTCCAGTGTAAAACTGAAATCATCGATATTGCCCGATTTTGAATGTCTAAAGGTTAAACACTCCTCATTAAACAAGAATATCTTAGCTATAACCCATTGAAACAATTGTAAATATACACTATATAGAAACTAAACAATAGATCTGTAGCGGTAAATAAATCCCCAAAATAAATAGCTCTGTAAGTTTTCGACATTGGATGCTGACCACATGTTTTAATGGACTCATCTAGCTGAAGGCGCTCGGTCATGCATCCGCATCAGATCATGAGCGGGAACTCCGTGCTCAACATCTACTGCAATCGCTAGCCGGATTAGATCAGACGATTCTCGATATATTGATAGTCATCAAATATATCTTCCGATCTCCTCGATTCTGTCTTTTGATTTCTCTTGGTGGGAACGAATTATATTAGGTGTGACGGGTTAAAGCGTTGTCAAACTCTGAATACTTGTGGCATCTACATTGGTGAGCCCGACGTGATTACTAAAATGCAGTCGACAGATGCAGCTAGCTCGTCTTAGGCGTTGTTGTGGAACGAGACAAGCACAGCTTGCACCTGTTGAGGAAGTTTTCATACTTCATTTAAAACTATGATACAAGGTAAAAGTCAGTTTATTAACAAATAAACATGATACTACTTTATAAATTGAGTTAGAATGTAGAGTATTTCAATGTTTCGTCTAATTACGTAATGAACGCCTAATGTAAAATAACATATTACTAAGACAGAGAAACAACGCTATGGATAATTGACTATTGTCTCCATGTTATGAAAGATTTATATAATATAGTGTTAGATATCTTTACTCCTTTAATTAATGTATCATTTATGAAATATGTAAACAATGAGGTGTCAAATGACTGTCAAAAAACAACAAAAAACATGTAATTTACAGTTACAATATATAAAATAGGCGTTTCTGTTGTACAGATTATTGTTTCGTTTGTTTTGTTTTTCTAAACACATCAAAGATGTAGCGGTAGCATTACTTTGAATTACTTTGAAAACACACATAAATCACAGTTCCAGGAATGTTTTACACACATGTAAGTATGAATTGGGTTTGTTGTATTATTGTTACAAATTTTTTCTAATCTTTCGTTTTGAAATTTCTAACTTCTATGTATACGAAGGGGATTTCGTGGTTATTATAGTAATGCTAATACTTAAGATCATAAGTCAATTAAAGCTATACAACCGTGAGAAACCTGGACGCACTGGATGGCCGTTTCGTTCAGTTATGGGACTCTTCAACAGTGTGCCTCGCGAGATTCGAACCCAGGGCCTATCAGTTTTGCAAACGAACGCCTAACCTCTAGACCGCTGAGCCGGAAGCGCGGATAAGAACTGCTGAGGAGCCCCACAATAGGATGAGACGGCCGTCCAGTGCTTCCGGGTTTTCCATGGTGGTCTAGTTTCAATTTACTCATAATTTCAACTATTAACATTCTACGTATTCATTCATGTTATTGTTTAAGGAACAAATGATATTCATAGAATAAGGGTCTATGAAGATGAATATTACTCAAAGAATGTATGAAGTAGTTTATTAGATTTCAATAACAAATGGTAGTGCTCACTGATTGCTGCAGCTAAAAAAAATTTAAGTTTTTATAAAAAATTTATCCTTTTCAACTAATTCATGTTTTGTATTAAAGAGGAAGAATGTATTTGTAAAATCTCAGTGAATGAATTTGAAGTAAATCCAACGTTTGGTACTCGGCAATCTGGCCTAAGCTTTTTTCTAGGAAATATAATCAAACATTAAAATTATGAATATAAATAATTATATGGTTCTTCAGTTAAATGTATACCAAACAGGTCATCCGATCGTCTTAACAATGTTTAAGATAGGTATTCGCTTCAATGTGTATAAGATATGTGGTGTGCAACAAAATGTGTATTAACATAATAGATTGTGTGTATTCAGAAGTGAATCTGAGGTGTGAGAAGTTTCATTCACTATTTATAGCCTCTAATTCACGTACGTGGAATAATATAATTTTATTCATTTGTCAACCATCTTATTCAAAATACATGGTAAATGGATGTTTGGGAAAGAATGAATTTCGTTTGACTTCATATCAATGTATGAGCATTACTGCAAACCAATTGAAGTTGGAAACATAAACTATCAAACGTTACCTAAGTGATCCAAAGGTTACATGCTCATTATGAGACCTGAGGGTATATGGCTAGGTTTTCAATGGGGTTTTATATGACCACTGTATCGGAGTCTCATACTAGGATGAAACGGAAATACATTGTTTCTTCATTTTCAAAGTTCATCCAAGTTCAGTTCTTGTTTTAGATTATCAAGGTTTCATTCAGTAACAAAAGAGTTGTTAATCTATTCAAGTACTATACCAAAGACGTATGAAACGTGTTCCTCAAATATATCTTTTACTACAATTCCAGTTAAAGTAACATTTCAATAATAAAAATCCTGTCAAAAAATCGTAAAGACAACAATATTTTAGACATTAGTTATCAGTCAGATGTATTTCCATGACAATCGCATTATAAACTGAACTACAAATCTTCGACTTTCTATGTATTGAGTTTGTTTTGAGACATTGTTATCTGCATCATCATTAATTAGGATAGATCTAGTTGAAATAGTCGCGTCATTTCATGCAACTAATTAGTAAAAGTCTCTTGGTACTTTACTTTGGTTTGCGATCCTCCATGATAAAAACAATTGAAAAAAGTATCAGACATTTAATCATGACTTAGTTAGTTTCAATGCATTTTACAAACGAAAGGCTCTTCGTTATGCAACTGTTTGGCTCTCTTTTGTGTCTAATCGATACTCAGCCTAGCAGTCTCACTCTCATCCATATCTTAATGCGATAAAATATACTTGACTAGTTCGATCAAGTAAGTTTCTTTATTTACAATGTTGTGATTTGTTTGTACATAATAAGTGAGGACAACATTTAAAGGAGCATGTTATCAATATCCTGAAATTCTATTATATTAAATAGGGTGAGTTTACCCATCACATGTTCAATGTTCATGCAATACGGCCTACCGTGAAATCCCGAAAATTTCGAGTTTCTTTATTTAATGTGTGATTTTCATCAGACATTTCAATTCAGAACTTAAGATTCCATGTATTTGTATTTATTATCCAGTATATTGGTTTGGGTAACATTGATTTATCCATAGCAAATAATCGTTGATAAGTCATAGTGCTTGAAATGAAATCTTTGGTGAAAATCACTCTCTCTTTGTCTGGACCTCTTCCAAAAAAAGGAATATCTGAAAGTACTTGTTAATATCACATTGCGTTAATGTTGAGAACTTGATGAATAACCACAAGACTTTATTAAAATAATAAAATACGTTGGTAATTACATATAGTTTCTTACCGTCGATTGAAATAATTACTGTTAAAATGAAAGTGATACACCATAATATACGAACACATTGATACATTTCTGTTACAAATGAAAAACATATATGAGAATGGCTATCATACAATTTTATAATACACCACACCCTAAATAAATGCGTGTTTCATTCGAGGCCACACAAAAAAACCAATTAGAATAGATTATACAATGGTTTCTATGTAAGAATTTAAAGTAATGTTATTTGTTATTGATTAGCACATTAAATTCTGAATGTATCTTATTTATGAAGTAACTGTCGATGTTTGAAGTTTACATGACGTATTTTACCTTAATTCAAGCGACATTTAAAACCATGATGTCATGGATAATTGTTTTGTTTTATCATTAAGCTCTTCAAGTAGGGTGCATTCATGACTCTAACAGAAGACGAACCCTGGGCCTGTGTGTTTTTTCTACTTTTAGAATACTGAGCAGGCGTCGATTGATTTACATATAATGTAAGCTATAAAGTTTTATTTATATTTGAACAAGAAATTTAAATCCTTTAACGGGACTAGAATAAATAGATAAAGATGTATAGTCACTGTTGGCTATTTTTTGAAGATCTTTATGTAGTTTTGCCTTCGCGAGAAATTTTAGTTACATCCGTGAGAAAACCAAGAAGTCATTAAGTCCCATACTATTACTCATAAGATTACATGAAAATTTGTATTATTATTGTTGAAAGATGTTCACGATTATTCCAAGTTAATTCTCAACTGAATCTAGATGTAATCGTCTTATAAAGTTTACATATATATTTCAATGCCAGGTTATAGTAGCGATTTGAAGTATCTTCGTCCTAAAATCTATAGTTTATATGACTCAATGTAATATCATACAAAAGATTAGTTTTGCGTGTTTACACTGAATAATGGGATGAATGAAAATACTTTACGTATTTTAATACTGTAACTACCGGAGATTGTATCGTAGAAATTTTTACAACAAGGTATGTACACTGGCATTTTTTAAAGTATTTCATAATAATTTTACCACTATGGAAGGGTGTTATGTCCGCGGAATGCTTGACTGACTTGATACATGGTACCAGGAAACTGTGAGTTGGAAGACGTAAGAAAGAACTCAAAGACGGTTGATGAGGAACTATTTATTCTGCGAAATAAGACAAAAGGATATATGAGTTCACTCATTTTTATATAATTTATTGACAGATTTGTATAAATTGAAATGAATGATAGTTAACGTTATTTAATCAACAGCTTGCTATGTGAACGAATTTAAAATACCATACGACTAGGCATCTATCATTAACATACCGAGACCGAAGACCCTGGGTTCGAATCGCGAGAGCGGAATCGTCGATGCGCACTGCTGAAGAGTTCCATAACAGGACGAAACAACCGTCCAGTGCTTCCAGGTTTTCAATGGTGATCTAACAACAATCGTTTCATGCTCTCAGTCAAAAACTAAATTATTTAATTACTCAAGATGTGACCGAATGTTATGAACGATAAGAAAAGATAAATCCCATGAGTCTTTCAAGCACTGATCGTCAAAGTCATTCCCCATCATATCAAAGAATAAGCTCATTTAGCGAATAGACTATGAGTCATGGTAGCCTCTGCGATTAAATTTTTCCAATTAAATGTTCTGATTAAAACTGATTTCTTTGGTACACGGTGAGAGCTGTGTTATATGTGATAGATTTTAAATACTAAAAACTACATGAAACATTTCATTGATAAACTAAGCAAAGATGGAAAGTAGCTAGCAGTGGAATCGAGGACGCGAATTTCGTCCTATTTTGGACTCATCAACTGAATGTACTTGCGTCTCAGAGTTCATGTTCACTTCAGAACTGTTCGCTTTAAACACCATCTCGTTATCCACTTAGCTACCGAGCCCTGATAGTCACTTACTTGTGTAATATGGTGAAGTTTAAATTCACTTGTGAATTAAAGCAATATGGAGACAATACGCACAATATGCCCATATGCCAATAAGAAACTGATAAATTGCAGTCGTAAACATCAATTGAAAGATTCAAACAAGCAATACCAAGTGAATCTAACTCACTGGCATATTTTCTAGTTTATATCACCGACTACCTTAAATAAGACAACTGGTGAAAACTAGTAAAAATGAAGTGAAAAGTGCGTCAAGTGTACATATTTTATGTCGGAAACTTTTAGAATAAGCTGAGTGGAGATAGAATAATATTAAAATACAATAATAATATGAATGAGTTAATATTATTCGCTAGTCGGTGACCTGTTCTCCATTAGGAGTAACAGGCGTAAGTAAGTAAGTAAATATTATTCATTTCAATTGATTAGGTTGTAAACAACTGAGAGGAATCCACGAAATAAATGAATTCATGTTATTCTGGCACAATATTTGTTCTTTCGATATTTAAGTTTAGAAATGGGAGAAATTGTATAAAAACTAGGAAAGACTGAACATCTATTTCATTATAGTATGAAACATGGTAACAGTAAACATCTACGATCCTACCAGCAGATATCACAGTGTTGTTATCTGAGTTTTTATAAGCATAAAATGATTTGGTATAATTTCACTGAGTGTGAATTTTATCATGATAATTTCCAGAGTATTCCCCAATAAATACATTTAAAAATCAACTGACCACAACAATGCATAATATAATACCCAATTGTAATCTATTAATGATGCCAACAGCAAAACTCCATCGCTTATAGTTTATATGAACAAATGCAGATAAAGACAGCCAGTGTAGCAGCAGTCTCTGAATCCGTAAGCCTCAACATACACAAGGGAAAACCAAGGTCCTCAAATACAACATAGAGAACACCAATTTAATCACACTTGATGACGAAACTCTGGAAGATGTAGAATCCTTCACATACCTGGGAAGCATCATCGATGAACAAGGAGGATCAGATGCAGACGTAAAGGCGAGGATTGGCAAAGCAAGGTGATGAGACCCTTTGATCTGACTCCATTTAGTGTGTACGTATGTTTGCTATCGCTGATTCTCGTTTATCATCGTCGACTTAAATCACGTTAGTCCATAACGGAATTAAATAAGTCAATTAACGAGAATGGCATTTGAATACATATATTTTGTATGTAAAGTGAATGCGATAGAACAAAACGAAATGACGCGCTGGGAAGATGGCTGGGAAGCCAACTCCAATTCAAGCCGAACATTGCTCAATATTTATAGGCAGACAAAATGAACTACAGACATGTGATGAGTCATCGGACATGAAGTGTACACACATGTACGCTCATGTGAAAACAGTCAAGGCTAATAAGCGAATAATTAACAACGTCAAAACATGACTCAAGTAGAATGAATAGAATGGGATGTCCGAAAACTAGAATAAAATATATTATGAACTAAAACTAATGACTAACACTACAAAGGGTCGCATTCCTACAATTGAAGAACATATGGAACTCAAAACGACTTTCAACCAATATCAAAGTCAGAATCTTTAATACGAACGTCAAGGCAGTTCTACTGTCCGGAGCTGAAACTTGGAGAACTACAACAACCACCATCAAGAAGGTACAAGTATTTATAAATACCTGTCTACGCAACATACTCAACATCCATTGGCCGGATGCCATCAGCAACAGCCTTCTCTGGGAGAGAACAAACCATCTTCTAGCTAAAGAGGAAATTAGGAAAAGACGATGGAAATGGATAGGACATACATTACGCAAATCATCAAACTGCATCACGAGGTAAGCCCTAACTTGGAATCGTGAAAGGAAGCGAAAAAGAGGAAGGCCAAAGAACACATTACGTTGGGAAATAAAAGCAGATATAAAAAGGATGAATAACAACTGGAAGGAGCTGGAAAGGATTGCCCAGGACAAGGTTGGATGAAGAATGCAGGTGAGCGGCCTATGTTCCTTCACGAGGAGTAACAGGCGTAAGTAAGTAAATAAGTAAGTATAGTTTATATCAGGAATATTGATAAGGTTATTAAGAGCCAAGTATTCGTATTTTGGAAATTCCTATGTTTATGTTCCAAGTAATCAGGAGTTTCAGCTACAAATTGCTTGTTTTATTTATTATTTCTGAAGAATTTACTGAGTATTCAGTCCTAATGAAATGATGCCATGACATCAGTAATTGCAAGTTCAGAGTTCCTAAATCCTTTTATTAGCAGAACCTGGTTAACTTTACTATTCAAATAACGATCCCTCCTACCATTATTTCTTTCTGATTTATATATAAGTCTAATACGACAGTGCGATGGACCCTCTAATCAAAAACGGACTTATCACCATGTTTTCATAAGAAATAAAGGTCATAATATGTAATTCATAAAATAAAATCTGCAAAGCTAGTTGAATATAACTCTAAAGAGGTACTCTACTATGGTGAAACATTGGAGTAAGCAATATTAAGGTTGAGTGTAGTATACGACGTTGAGATAAGAAACTGATTGGTAGATAGTGAATCTTAATTGACTAAGGTGATTGCAACATGAGTTTAATTCTCAACGTGATAACAAGAGACATTTTTTTATTTAAAATACTTTTATTCTAAACAATATATTGGAGTTACTGAATAGGCATAAGGTAAAAAATAATTCAAAGTTGAAATTTTCTAATTCAATTGCAAACGTTTGAAACTTTCAGGTTGTCGGAATTAGGGACTGCAATTGATTAGTTTCTTTTGGTAGATATATACTTTGAACGGACAGCGTCTATATTTTCATCAGTAACAAGCATTTCTGAGCAGAAGTGAATAGTCACTAGCAATAAAATTCAGCAGGTGCGTTTTAACATATTTGTATCTCGTCAGCTGGTTGCATCTACACCTTAGTGCTGATGTAAATGCTGAGAATGAAGTCCTGAAACTTTTATCTTAAGACGGAAAGGCATTGTTCATCGAGTAATTGAGCCTAAATAACCCTTAACTTGTGCAAGTATGTCCTGATGAAAAATCCTAGATGGAATGAAACATACGTCCTTAATTCCACAGCTAATCACATACCCAATACGCCATAACTTTCGACTAAAGGCTATTTTATATTCATCTGAAAGGAATGAACTTATGGTATTAGAGACTTAATAATTACAGTTTTTCATAAAGCCAAGAAAATGTTCAAACAAGAAACTAATCAACTCCGAAGACTTTGTTTTCATTTACAAATATAAGCAAATAATCATTATTATTGAAATGATAAAGATTACGTTTATTGCTAAGATGATAACGGAATTATTCCATCTATTGTTAATACTACTGAAATCTTACTAATAAAGCCTAACTGGGACTGCTTTTTCTTTAGTTCGCATAATATTTGATCATTTAATCTATTTACTACTCGTGCACTTGAAGACCACATATTCGATATACTATATTATGAGTTATACTTGAATATCAAGTTTTGTTTTTCTCTACATTTTCTTTTCTTTCTGTATTAGTGATTAATTGTTCAAGTATTGTATCAGATATAGAGCTTATTCAAATTCAGATGGATAGTGGCTAGCAGTGGAATCGAGGACCCGAGTTTCGTCCTGTTGAGGACTCATCAACTGGATGTACCTGCATCACAGAGTTGATATTCACTCCACAACTCAAACTCAGAACCATTCGCTTCAAACATCATCTCGTTATCCACTTAGCTACTGAGTCGTGATAGCCACTTGCTTGTGTAATAGGGTGAAGTTTTAAATTCACTTGGTGTTGTTTACTGGTATCTAGCCATTGTTATTTAGGACTGCAACTGATCAATCTCTAGTTGACATGTGTACAACCTGTGCGGATTGCCTTGATCTTATCTTAAGCCACAAACTTTATAAGCAAAGATGACATATAAAATCGGAAACTACATATTTGTAAACTGTGGAATTTATGAGAAACTTCGTAGATTATAATGTTCAATTAAATATAATAGAAATGATCATATATAAATACATAGTAAATTAATTGGCTTTCATTTTTACTAATCAAGTTAGGTTCCTTCAACTTCTTTGTTGTTTCACCAAAATCTAAGAAAAACAGTCTCTACAGAATCTTAATAGAAGGTTATCAGTTCGATTACACATGGAATGGTCAGTTTGAAATAAAAGAAAACTAGGGTGATATCTGATTTCAATGATTTTACAATCTAAATAAAAACATATGCTTATTCGTATTTTATTGGATTGAAGTCCATGTGTAAATAACAATAATTACTTCAAACACATAGACTAATTATAAGCAAAGATGGATATTGGCTAACAGTGGGATCAAGGATGCACGTTTCGTCCTTTTCAGTACTCATTGACTGGGTGAACCTGGATCTCACAGTTGATATCCTAGATTCCACTTCTAGCCACTATTCATCTTTGCTTATAAAGCTTATGATCTAAGGCAATATCGAGGAAGTTCGCACAGGATGCACATATTGCCAATAACAGACTGATCAAATGCAGTCCGAACATATCAATAGAAAGATACAATTAAACAACATCAAGTGAATTTATTCCAGTTCATTTCTCTTGTTATTTGTATGAAATAGATTCTCAGTTATTCATAAATAAACGTTACCGTTAATTAACTGGGTCAAAAGTCTTGTTAATTTGAACGATTTATTCGGTTCCCAAGCTATGCTGGTAACACGCAAGCTAGAACTCAAGAGAAAAGGAGCAAAATAAGCAAAAAAGACTTTACTCCAAAGATTCATTTTTGTACAGAAAAACATGGGTATTTATAGATGTTAACATTTGTTAAATCAACATCATATTTTGGCCAATCCGCTAAAAATCATATTATGCTACTGACCAATAGTATCACGCCACGTTGATATTGTAGAAAGCTCCATCATACTCTATTGTCTAGGATTCTTCGGCTCCTTTAGGACCTCCGGAAGCTCCGTTGCAGTTCTCAGAAAGCCGACTCAACACTGGGAAACCTCAATTCATAATTGTATATTTACAAAACAAAACAAGTCAACTCTTCCAGAAAAAAATTTTGTATTTTAATTGATTATTTAAACTTATTTTTCTCAGAAAAACAAACAAACAAACAAAAAGTTTGAAAAAGTACAAAATGTCATTTAATCCATTTCATTAAAACAACAGCACAAGAAGAAAGTTCCATTTGATTTGATTTTCCCTCTAAATCTATCAACTTTATAATGATGATCATTTAGAATAGGCATTGAACATTTTGTTCAATATACATGATATTCAATATCCAACAGACAACATCTAAACAAATGATAAAATATACAAATAAATATTCAATCAGTGAACATTGAACAACACTGTAATTCATTAATGACCGTATTAAACTATCTATCTATCTATGTATATATATCATATAATTTTAGCCATACCTCATACAATAATCTATTCAATTTCTCTTCCAGATTAGCTTTCTGTTTGACATGATTGTAATAAAGTACATTCATATGGCTTCTTATTTCAACTTTTGATATTTTTCACACCTTTGACAATTGTTGTACAATAGTGTTCGAATCGACTAGCCATATTTAGTTATATAGGATAATTATTGATAGGATTTAAATCAAATCTAGGTACATGGAGGACAGTTGACAGACTCGATCGAAGTAAAGACAGGTGTCAGGCAAGGTTGCTCATTCTCACTCTTGCTCTTTCACCTGGTGATGACGTCATCATCTGGGGGCAAGCATGGGATACAGTGGAAAGCTAGGATGCAGCTGCACGAACTAGACTTCACAGATGATATAGCTCTTCTATCTCACACGCAACAACAAATGAAGGATAAGATAACCAGTGTAGCAGAAGTCTCAGCATCAGTAGGTCTCAATATACACCAGGGGAAATGTAAGATTCTCCGATACAACAAACCATGCAACAATCGAATCACACTTGACGAAGAAGATTTGGAAGATGTAAAAACCTTTACATATCTGGGCAATATCATTGATGAACACTGTGGATCCAATGCAGCTGTGAAGGCGCGGATCGGCAAGGCAAGAGCAGCATATCTACATTTGAAGAACATCTGGAACTCAAAACAACTGTCAACCAACACCAATGTCAGAATTTTCAGTACAAATGTCAAGACAGTTCTACTGTACTGTGCGGAAACTTGGAGAACTACGAAAGCCATTAGCCACAAGATACAAGTGTTTATTAACAGTTATCTATGCAAAATACTTCGGATCCGTTGGCCAAGCACTATTAGCAACAACCTATTGTGGGAGAGAACAAGCCAGATCCCAGTGGAGGAAAAAATCAAGAAGAAGAGCTGGAAATGAATAGGACACACATTGAGGGAAGCATCCACTTGCGTTTAAAGGCAAGCCCTCACTCGGAATCCTCAAGGCCGAAGAAGGAGAGGAAGACGAATGAACACATTACGCTGAGAAACGGAGACAGACATGAGAAGAATGAACAACAATTGGATAAAACTAGAAAAGAAGGTCCAGGACATAATGGGTTGGAGAATGCTGGTCGGCGACATATACTCCAGTGGAAGTAACAGACGTAATTATAAAGTAAAATATGTCTCTGACTACATGGTTTACTGTACTTTCTGGATGATATCAATGTGTTGATAAATTTTCTATGTTACTCTGCTAACAATATATAAACTAAAAACTTTTTGAAATGATATTTAACTTACAGAAATTCCAATACGAGTCTAATACAAATTTTGCAAAATTTACATCAATAGTGAATAATTCAATGTAACAGAAGGGTTTTTGTGGGTATTATTGTAATTTTAATAGTTGAGATCATGAATCAATTGAAACTAGACCACTGTAGAAACATTGGAAGCACTGGACGACTGTTTCGTCCTATTGTGAGACTTCTTGGTGATCTAGGTTCAGTCGACTCATGATTTCAACTATTAATTATCCATGTAAGTTGATAAAATTATTTCAATATTAATAGTGACATAATGTCGCTTAGCTTAAGTAGAGCCCATCTTATCCTGAAAAAAAACATACTAAGTTTAAAGAAATTAGATAAAGCAATTTGATAAATTTCGATAGTGTATTAAGAAGACGACGATTATATTAGCGCAATACATTTCGAAGAATCTGATCCCACATATACTTGTTAAGAACATTTATGTATAAAAATAAGAGGTGAACTAGACTAGAAATGGAAGGTAAGAGGAGACAAAGGTAATAAAGAAATAATGTGAAAACAATTTGAAACCTCATCATTCTGGATAATAACCTAATATTAACAGGGTAGGTTTAAGGTGAGAACAAAGGAGGTTTGAATTTTCGTATGGCTAAGGCGGCGAGACTATAATTTATGGACGAACCAATAAGGTATAAGATAATAGGCCTCGGATATTGGCGCAAAATTCACTCATCCAATTTGGTTAAATAGGGTTTTGGCATTATAGCTGATGTAAGTTCGTGATGAAAACCCGAAATCTAATTCCTAACGTTAATCATCAACTGTAAAACATAATTATAATTCCTCACACAGGTTTAGAACCTTTATTTGGTTAAAGATATTAGGTGGATACTCTCAAGGTCAGTCTAGCTTAGCTCAAAGGTCGTCCATAAATTATAGTCTCACAGCTAAGGCTTCAATAAACCTAAGTATACGCCCTTTTACACTATTGTACAACACCACAAAAGCCGAGTTAAGATCAATCTTATGACCTGTTTCAACTATGTGTTCGGCATCCTCTACTCCTATTGGGTCATTTGATTCTATTTGTTTCTGCAACCATTTAGGTACATGTTCACACACTAATTTTGAGATCACGATTGCTCCTCCCTATGTATGTATGATCTTAACAAGTGTAGGTGTAACCAAACAGTTCGAACTGTATTGCGCTAGTATATCATATGGTTCTGATAATCTTCGTCTTTATACTAAGTTTCCTAGTGTAAGAATATATTCATCGGAAAATCATGTATCGGCAACTGATTTTACATAAAATGTAACTGGATAATTCGAGCCTTAATTCTTAAACTATCCGGTGATTTTTTTCACTACGTCACTATAATCTGGATTTATATGATAATGTGGAATTATAAATTATATGATATACTAAATATAAACAAGCAAATTTAATGTAGTATCACTAAAGAACATCGGTTACATTGGTGGGTTACCATGTAGTGGGCAATGTCATAATTTTCTCTTCCTTAGTACAGCTAATCGAATTCTATAGATCTAGTTGAAATATGGCCACTTGATAAGTAACTCGAAATTACCTTCATTATGTTTTAATTTATTATCCTTGGATGTTGTCGATAGGGCAGTCCTAGTTCTAGGTTTATTTCTAGTTGAGATTTATCAGAAAGTTTGGTAATGTGGATATGAACATCACAGGGAGTATTGTTCCCGCTAATATTTAGGTTAATGTTCACTAACAGGAAACGTAGATCAGTGGTTTCCTTGATCTCTTAACAATGTAATCAGTACAAGAAACGTTTATCGATGTATTTTGTATGTTCACATATCTGGTATTAATCTAACGATATTATTTAATTAATTATTCAGATTGCGACATATATTAAAAGTGATATTCATCTGTCTATAGACATTACGTTTCCATAGAGAGAGAGGAAGAACAACGATATATTCCGATAACTGATACCATTGTAAAACACAACAGCAGCCAGGAAGAATGTGTTTCTATTGTGAGAAGCTTCAAAGTATTTATATTATACATTATGCATAGCCTTCAATCTTTCACTTGCATTTTTTTGGTGTTCTGCCATTTGAATTATCTTCTCTTTGACTCTCCAAGTGTTCTGCCAACGCCGTGCTTTTGATGAACCGATACTCATCACTCAGTCCTACAAGTTTCGCTACTTTGACGTCTCGTCCTGCTACACACTATGTAGAATCCTGTAAATAACGTCCAATACACCATGTGTGAGCGTAAAAGATGATGAAACATTCTAAAACTAACAACAGATCTAATTAGTTCGTAGTATTTTCATTAATATCTCGGTTTAGTACTGATAATAGCAATACAAGTTATAATCAAAACTTACTGTAACCATATCCGAAGTCTTCTGCATTCCGGAAATAACACATACACATTTTCCTTACAAACTTATGAGAATATATAATGTTAGTAATTCAACGAAATACTTTTTTGCATAATACCCAACAAAACTGAAAACATTGAAATTTAATCGATATACTGACTTCCTTATTCAAAACGTCTAAACAGACCCAACGGTTTGCTTGAACATTCATGTTACCAATGTTCACAAGGTGAATACTTATACAATTGAAATTTCGTTGCAACTGTACATATTTTGTTCTGAGGATGCTTCATTGTAATCAAGCATATGGTATTGAATAAAGCAAGTATTGTTATTGTGTACAATGTGCGACCGTAGTATACAGTGTATCTGTAGATATATTACGGAATGAATGTATTGTTAACACATAATACTAAAGACATTATGTATTAAATATGAATGTAAATGTATTAGTATGATCTATTCATTTGTTAAATGTAAATAAGTGATGCGTTGTTCAATCTGAAAACATGATTAACAACTCTTTGACATGAAAGAATAATAAATACAAATGATAATATTTAGAGGTGACGGAGAAGATTTATAGATCAGATGAATGAATTAGGTGGAGTTTTGTCCTCTGAACTGGATGGTTTGGTCATGGAACTTTCATTGTTCTTCTGAAAAACATCATTAGTACAAAATTCAGGTAGAAGTGGAGTATTGGATTTCATCACATACGATACAGCTTGTCCTGTTGACCTTGATCCTGATTGGTTATTGTTGATCTATAACATATCATTATGTGCATCTTTATTTTTATTTCATCTCCCTTTTATTTGATTCTCAGTCCTGTGTTTGTTCTTAATTGCTTGATAAATTGGATCATTTCGATGTTTTTTTTGCTAATTGATCTAAGTGTTAAACATTAAAAAAACTCTGATATTGTTAGTATTTCCTCTGTCCAAGATTTCAGCATTTTCTAGATTGAATGTGTATCCAAAATTGTCCACATGCATTGATATAAGAGAAAATATGTTACGGTGTTTGATCACAAATTGATATCCAAGCAGGCGAAGAGGATGGGGGTGTCCACCTTGTCCGATGTGGTGTTTTTCGTAATTATAACAGTTCATTTTGTAGATGATATTCGCTCTCTATTCTTTTGTCATTTCATCCTTTGGTTTGTATAAGATTGGTTAAAGTCATTTTACTGGCTCATATGCTACACCTATTCCAAACGGCTTCAATTTTAATGATAGGATGATCCGTTTGTTGGTTTCTATATTTGATTTCGTTTTTACTGATGAGCTGGATTCATATTTTTTGGTGAAGTTGCACGGGTAGCTGTGATTCGAATGTGCAGATATTCGAATACTTCATTTCTACCGGAAGTTTGTGCTAATGATGTTGTTCAGAAGAACAATGGAAGCTCCACGACCAAATCATCAATCCCAGAGGACAAAACTCTTAAATCATTATATTTAAGGACCATCATTTTACTGTTATACATAATCATTCAAAATATTTGACTGAACAGATTAAATGTCACATTCAGCTTTTAATAGCAGTAATGTATCAGTATGGGACTATGGACATTGTTGGGTTTCAATTGATATTACGAATGGATCAGTGTTGGACCACCACTGAAAACCTGGAAGCACCGGTCGGCTGTTCCGTCCTAGTATGAGACTCTTCTGCTGTATGCAATGTCGTGAATTGGTTGAAGTTAGAAATTGACACCGTTGGATGCCAGCTCACTAGTATAGTTGTTAAGCGTCCGCGTACGAGACCGATGGTCCCGGGATCAAGTCCCGCGTGCGTGATTGTGGATGTGCACTGCTGTTTAGTAATGTATTTGGATATAACACAGAGTTCATAATTCAAGATAGATAATATTGCAATAAATATCCGCTTTATATGCACTAACTATTGAGTATACATATGAACAGTGATTAGCAGTAATTCTTATCTTACCGGTAAAACATTTTGTTTAGCACGTAATATATATATATATATATCTGATTTATAAATCCCAATTTGGATATTTTCACTTATCTTAAACGATAGACAATTAGGATAATATACCCTATGTTCGTGGTGTTAACGAATAAAACTTTCAGAGTAGTGCGAAATGAAGTTAAATAAATCAGTATATGATGCAGTTTACACAAACTAATTTAAAACTGAGGAATCTATTCCAGTATTTATACAGTAGAAGAGTAAATAACCCAAAGGCATTATTTATAATAAGTAAAATGTAAAGATAATACAAATGTATATTATTGCGTACTGCCAACGTGTTTTCCTTCTGAAAAATGAAACATTCAAATTACATGGAAATGAAGTTAAAGAAAAGACTGAACATGTATAGAATATAAACTAACAGTGAGTTTTTAGGTTTTTGACAAAGTAAAAGCTTGAACATGTCTTTTCTAAGCACAATGAATAAAAAAAAGGAGATCTGAATTAATGTGAAAACCACAAAGACATCACACTGCTGTCAGTACCAGGGAAAGTCTTGAACAGAGTGTTGCTGAACCGGATGAAAAACGCAGTAGGCGCCCAGCTTCGAGATCAACAAGTTGGATTCCATAAGGATCGGTCGTGCACTGACCAAATTGAGACACTACAAATCGTCGTCGAACAATCAGTTGAATGGAACTCGTTACTATACATCAACTTCATTGATTATGACA